CCAGCACAGAATGCCAGGTCCTCCTTGGCCCCAGGGACAATGGCCTATGAGCCACCACCTTCCCTTGGGGAGCTTGGGAGGGTGCAAGCCCCACGTCAGGCCCTGCAGCTCCCCTCCAGCTGCCATAGACGTCTCGTCACTGAAACGCAGCCTGAGAGGGTGACAGTCCGGTCTCTACGTTCAAGGCAGCTGTGGTGGAGCAAAAACTAGGAAGTCACCCCAAATCATGGGTAATAAGTGGCAGAATGTGGGGTGCACTCAATTCTGGAGAATTAGATGTGCCGGGCACTCCACGCCAGGTGCTGGGGACCAGGCCTGACCACAGGGGCCTATTTCAGGGGAGGCAGCTTAGTTAAACCCAGGTTGGTGGCGTGCGGGTCAACGTTTATCCACCAGCTCCCTGGGGGAGGTTAAGGCCCTGGTGTGCAGCACTTGCTGATTTCGAGGTGCCGATACCCCCACCATGGCTGACGTCAAGCTACCAGCCTGATGTCAGGAAGCACAAAGTTAGGAAAGTTGGCCCTCAAGAGCTGGTATGAGCTGACCAAAACCCCAAAATCAGACACGCTTACTCTAAGCCGAGGGAATGCGGAAGGCCTCAGGTCTGCCAGGAGAGGGGGGCAGAGCACGGGGGACCCTTAGACACGGGGCGGCTGCAACGAAGTGCGCCCCTCGGGGGTGCCCATCTGCCTGGTGCCCCCTGTATGCCAGACACTCTGCAGGGTGCTTTGGGGAACAAAACCAAGACCCCCACCCAAGAGAAGTGAAGGGGTCAGGCACACCTGTTTGGGCAGGAGGAATAGTCCTCAGGCTTTTAGATTGAATAAGGTGGCCAGGGTGGGCCTCGTGGAAAAAGCAGGGGCCAAAAGCCAGGAAGAAAGGGAGGTAACCATGTGGCTGCCGGGGGTGGGCGTCACGTTTTCAGACAGCAGGGACAGCCAGTTCAAAGGCCCCAAGGTCTGTGCTTAGGGTTGTGAGGAAATTCGAGAATCCCAGGAGCCTTGGCCTTGTGGTGGGAGAGGGGGTGGGGCCAGAGGCTGAAGGGGTCCAGGTCTGTGCAGCTCTGATGTTTGTTGCGCTCCTTTCTCCCCTTGACTCCTCCTCCTCCTCCCTGTCCCAGTGACGAGACCTAGGGCAACAGGTTCCCAGCTTAAACAAGAAGCACCTGGGGGGGGTTCCAAATGCAAGTTCCTGGGTCCTGGCCCAAGACAGTGTGACTGGTGGAGTTTGGGAACCTGAATTTCCAACAGGGATTGAAACACTGCCCGAGGGTCACGAGGGAGCCAGGGGCCCGCGCCCTCCCTGGAGACTCCGAGATTCCACTGAAGCTGGAGGCAGGCAGCTGCTGTCTATTGAGCCCATACATTGACCTTTATGACCCCTCATTTCCAACCCCCATAGCTGAACCAATGACCCTGACCCAGGTGCACCTACAGCCCTCGTATTGGGAGCACACTCCATCAGTCCAGCCCAGTTCCCCAGGTGGGGGCCAAAGTCCCAACCAATTAGAAAGCCTTTGCTTGCCTGGCCTTTCGCCCTGCCCGCTTCTCCCTCGGAGACCCTGTGGGGCAGGGCAGACCCCAGGACCCTCCCAGTGGGTGGTGGCTCCCTGGACGAGCCATCGATCTGGATCTTCCCCAGTGCACAGGCTTCGTGCTGAGCCGGGCCAGCTGCGCCCACAGGTTCCAATCCCCCTCATTGGGCTGGAGAACATCGTGGACGGAGACCGGCCGTTCATCCTGGGGCTCATCTGGGTCATCATCCTGCGTTTCCAGATTCCCCACATCTCCCTGGACAGGGTGTGTGTCCCCGCCAAGTGCCCAGTCACACAGCCAGACCCTCGGCATCCACACAATTAATATTCACTATTCAACCCTGGCAAAGCACTCGGAATGGCAGAGATTGTAACATGCTGAAGTGAGAACCAGATCTGTGGGCTTCAGACCTCATCCGGGACAAGTCTTTTCACTAGTGACGGCACGCAAAGGACATCATCAGTAAGAGGTGCACGCAGGTGGGAGGGGACTGAAACCAGGCATAGCCGGTCATTTCCCAGCCAGAGAACACAGCTCCCAATCTACCCTCCGGAAGGGGGGGGGGGGGCACTGAGGTGAGAGACAGGCAGGCTCACAGGGCAGAGCTGGGCTCCCTGGCAATGCTCCCGGGTCCAGCAAAACCCTCCCTCCCCATCCCCCCGGCCCCTGGGTGGCTTTCCGATATCTCTTACTGCGCCTTGTTGTGACATCCTTAGAATGTGAATACTGATGCCGCCTACCTCACAAGGCTGTGAGGGGTGGAGAGCTATGTGCATGGGCCCAAAGCCTGGCTGGCAGCCCGCAGTACCCAGGCGTGGGTCTGATGAAGCCGGCCTTGGTCCATGTGGCTTAGGGTCAGCACAGTGCCAGGCCCATTGAAAGGGTTAGAGAAGTGGGAGCTGCTGCTATGGTTGTCACCGGTTGCAATTCATAGCCGGATGCTCTGAGGTGACAGCTTTCTGACACCCTGCTTCTTTGGAGGCACAGTCAGCTCTCATGGGGGAGGGGGCAGCAGGATCACAGCCAGGCCAGCCTGCCTCCCCACCTGTCCCTGCACAGCGACCTGCTGCCCTGTGCCTCCGGGAGGAGCTTGGGGCCAGCACAGCCCTGCCGTCTGCCAAGGAAGCCCTGCTGCTCTACGCCAAGGTCGACATCACCGACTGCTCCCGTAGCTGGAGTGACAGGCTGGGCTTCAGCCCCTCATCCACACCCACGGGTGTGTGTGAGGAAGGGGGGCCCCAGTGCCCTCCCGGCGCTGACTGACCTGGCCTAGGACAGGTCTCAGCCTTCTCCCCGGAGGCCTCCACCCACCGAGCCAACTGCTCCAGGCTCAGGTCCTCAAACTGCCCATTCTCCCACGTCCCTCTGGCCCCTGCGCCCTGGGCACAGACGTAGAGAGGGCAGCTAGCCAAGACCCTGGTCTGGGATTACCCCCCTCTCCTAGGAGAATCCATGGAACTGGCCAGGTTTGCTTTCGAACCCTTCCTGTGTCCACTTTGCGTCCCCGATGCTACTCTCTGTTCTCCCTGGGACAGACCTGCCCTTTCAGGGCTCTCCCTCCCCAGGAGCCTGGGTGCGGAGCCGGATTGACTCTCCCCTTTCCGTCAGAGCCCTATTGCTTCAGCCAGGCTCTCAGGAGACCATCAGGGTCACAACCAATAGGAGCTTGTTTGCCTTTTTAACAAGTCAGCAAGTGGCTCTGGCGAAGACCCCTGTCTGCTCTCTGTCCAGGCTGGACCTGCTTGACCACGGCTCCCTGCACCCTGACCGCCCACTGCACAACCGCCACCTTGCCTTCCGCGTGGCTGAGCAGGAGCTGGGCGTCGCTCTGCTGCTGGACCCCGAGGACATGGCGGCGTGCAGCCCAGTGAGCGCTCCCTCGTGGCCTGTGTCTGCCTCTGCCATCACTGCTGCTCCCGCCTGCACCAGGGGCAGATTGTCCAGAGGAGGCTCTTGAAGGTTGGTGGCAAAGGGAAGGTGGGACTGAGGAGAGGGAGGGCCAGCCGGGACCCTGGAGTCAGACGTGCCTGAGTTTCAAGCCTCAGGGCGATAATGCCTGGGAGATGGACGGCTGTTGGGGGGTCAGGGAGCATGAGCAGAGTACCCACGTGGTGCCTGGCACTGAGGGAAAGCCTGGTGGGTGATGCCTCCTCCCATCCCATCCCCTACCCCCTCCTCTTAAACTTCTAAACTCCTAATGGTATTGAAAGGCTCAGGGGAACTCCGGACTCTGCAGGGACGAGCACAGAAGCAGCTGGGCTGGGCCAAGTCCGTGTTTCCGGGGGGGCTCTCGCACTCTCTGGGCACCGTGGCCGAGGTTGGGGCCTGGGAGGGGTGTTCTCAGGGTTGGTATCTGAGCTGGGTGTGGGCCAGGGGATCCAGGCCAAGGGCGCCGAGCTGCTTTAGGGGTAGGAGGGCCTCAAAGAAGGGACCAAAGGCTCAGAAAAAGGATGGCACCCCCAGAGGCGAGGCCAAAGAGGGTACAATTAAATGAAAGAAGGTAGGCCAGAAGACCGTAGGAGGGGCAGAGGCTGCTGCAGGGGGGCCACCCAGCTTCAAGGACCCTCCAGGAGCACTTACAGGAGCTGGGAGACCTCTGGGCTGAGCTGTGGGCCCACTGCCAGAGGAAGGCAGCCAGGCTGCAGAAGGCCTGTGAGGCAAGGCCGCTTGGGCTGTGGAGCCAGCCGCGTGCGGCGCTAGGCCTCTCCCCATCATGCCCAGTCCCTTCTGCCCCAGGCCCTGCCTCTGCGGAGTGTGGAGGAACTAGAGAGCTGGCTGGAGCCCGTGGAGGGCGAGCTGAGCGTTCCCAGCAAGGCCCAGGACCAGCCTGGCCTGGAGGAGCTCCTGGGGGCTCAGGGGGAGGGGGAGGCAGCAGTGGGCGGGCAGGCCGGGCAGGCTCAGGCGCCACTGGGCCAGGCCCAGGCCTTTACACAGGAAGGCCGCTGCCTCGCCCAGGGTGTGGAAGAACAGGCCAGCGGCTGCTTCGGAGGTAGGTCTGCCCACGCCCGCCCTCCTTGTCCCCCTCCTTCCTGCCCCCCCAGCTCGTCTTCCCAGGGCTTCCCCCGGCCTTTGGCCAGAGGCACAGAGGGAGGGAGCGAAGCGCCACCATCTGCCCTCATGCTGACGAGCGTGCTGCCCACCCGCCTCACCCTCTGCTACAGCAGGTTCGGCGCTGGGTAACAGACAACAACACGCCTCGAAGGACAGTGAAGCTCTGCTCCGTTTATTGCAAGTACAAGCAGGTTTTTCTATTTTCATTTTAGGTAGTGATTAACATTTGTAGGTGTATAGCACGATCAGTTAAGCAGAAAAAATCAATACCAAGGTAACCAGGAAAAGTACAAGACTTTCTATAGTTTCAATTACATTATACAAAAATTGTTTTGACTAGAACCATTAATCAGACAATTTGAAATAACTCTATGTACAGAGTTTGAATGTCTTATTGTTTATTAAAGGTCTAGAATTTGGCATGGGGCAAAAGGCACGCTGGACCGAGCAGAGGTTAGGAAATTTATTATAAGGCCTTTGTGATGTCTAACTTAGCTATTTATCTTTCTGTCTAAAATGTTTCTCTATGTACTATGAACTCTAACTCCTTGGTAATTGTATCTATGTGCTTAGTTTGTAACAGTTAACCAGCTCCTTTTTTAATTTCTTTGGCTGTCCAATTGATATATTTTCTTATTCAAGCTAAAGGAGGGGCTGTTACTTCAACAACTTCTAAACATTTAGGGACTATTTTATTAGAGGGGATTAACTCGGGGGAGCACCCTGGGTAATTCTGGCTTCCTGCCACCTAATATTAACTTGTTCTGCATCTGCTTAACTGGGTCAGGGAAGGAAATATTCTTCCCCTCGGACTCACTGGACATTGTGGGCCTTTCCTCCTCTGGGCCCCCAGAGAGGGTATTATTTTGGGGAAAGGCCAAGGTGGCATAGTTCTCAGTTTTACCTAGTTGTTGATCAGCTCTGAGAATGGCCATTATTTCTAGGAGATTCCAAATTATCAGAAAAGTAAATGTCAGAACACCAAGAGACAGCAAGAACAGAATCAACACTATATATCTACTTATGCCATGTCCTCCAGGCCTGAATATGCTTCTTTGAAGCCATATTCCCCACGCGAGGACTTTGTCAGACAGCATGGCGGGAGCTGGACCTGGGCGTGGCAAGCCCCTGTAGGAGCACAGGGCAGCCCTGGAGGCCCAGAGCCTGCCCTGGCAGTTCCGCAGGTTGGCTGAGGAGGAGATGGCCTGGGTGCAGAAGAAGCTGCCCCTGGTAGACACCCAGGATGACAGCCAGAGCCTGAGCAACCTGTGGCACCTGCAGGAGAAGCACCAGGTGTGCGCCCACCCCGGCAATCCACCAAGGAAATGTCACTAGAGACAGACTGGGAGCTAGGCCTCTGGGGGCTTCTGGGCATCTTGGATTCTATGTTAGTCACGAGGACAAGGAACTCCTTGGGGACAAGTCTGTGGGGTCCTGGGAGGCTTCAGGCACAATGCTGGGGTCTCCAGCAGCGAGCCCAGTGGCAGCCCCCGTGCGGCTCCCCCTCCTCCCCAGAACCTGGAGCGTGAGACGAGCAGCCACGAGGCGCTGATCCAGGCCGTGGTGGACACAGGGCACAAGCTGGTGCAGACCGGGCACGTTGCCACCCATCACACGGCTGCCCAGGTGCAGCAGCTGGAGGACGCCGTGGGCCACCTGTGGGCAGGGGCGGCGTGGCAACGGCAGCGGCTGCAGCAGGCTTGGGAAGCCCAGCAGTTCCTGATGGAGGTGAGGGCAGAGGCGGAGTACAGAGGGTTAGGGTGGGCGTGAGGACACCCGGAGTGTACACAGACCTGGAAGTTGGCCCCCACAGGGGGCCCCCAGCTCTGTGCATCTCCACCAGGTGATCCCCTGCCCTCAGGTTCTCCCCTCTGTGTGTTTTCGAGGAAAACAGACCACTGGGTGTGGGTTGGTTTTGCTATTTCTCCTAAATCAGTGGTCCTCGGTCAATGCTCTACCTGGAATCTTTAAGAAATGCTGATACTCAGGTTCCATTCTGGACCAAATCAGAATCTTTTCAGGGTGACAATCAGGCATAGGGTGTTTTCCAAGCTCTCGGGGGATTCTAGCGTGCAGCCGGACTGAGAACTGCTCTCAGTCCTGGGGTGTGAGCCCTAACTGGGGAGCCCTGGAAGGCATCACCCCAGGAAAACCACGCACCGCTCTGTCGCTCCAGCTCCTGGAGGCAGAGTCCCGGCTGGCAGAACAGGGCTGTTTCCTGGGCGTCGAGAACATGGGCCAGAGTGCTGAGGCCACCCAGGCCTGTCTGTGGCAACTGGAGGCCACCAGGAGAGACCTGGAGGGATTTGGCAGACAGCAGCCCTGTCGGAGGGCAGGTGGAACCCAGAAAGGTGAGTGGGAGCCAGGCCCACCCAGGGCGGACGCGGAGGCGCACTCCAGCAGAGGCGCACAAGCCCGGTCCGCCTGTGAGGAAGGGCTCCAGCCAGCCTGTCCTTCGTGCCTCAGCCCCGAGGTGCTTGCCAGGGTGAGGCCGTGAGGGAGGCGCACTTGGGGCGGCTGCAGAGAGTGGACGGCAGCGGCAGTGCCTGCGGGAGCAGCTGCAGCTCCATCAGCTGAGCGAGAGGCCCTGCTTGTTGAAGCCTGGCTGGCCAGCAAGGCCGCCACTGCTGAGTCTCAGGACTGTGGACAGGACCTGGAGGCCATCACGGTGAGTCAGCCCTGAGCAAACTTGGGGGAGAGTGCGCTGAGGCTGTGAAAGGGAAAAGAGGTGTGCCTCTGGGGAGGAGAGGGTGTGAGCGGAAAGGGAATGAGGACCCCTAGGCTCTGGGAGACCCTCCAGTTCTAGAGCCTGAGCCCAGGACGTCAGGACTCTCGGTGCCAAGCCCTGTGCGAGCTTCCAGAGCCGCCCGACACCATCTCCAGAGTGACCCAGCCTCTGCCCTGGCAGGTGCTGGAAGAGAAGTTCAGTGCCTTCAGAGAGGAAGCCCAGGCCCCCGCAGACCCGCCCAGTGTGTGTGTGTACATGTGTGTGTGTGTGTGTAAGTGTGCGAGGAGGTGGCTGCCTCTAACTCCCAGCACCGAGCAGGTCAGGAGTCTCGAAGCCGCCTTCCTCCTGCCTCCTCCATGGTCCCTGCTAGTGCAGTTCGCGCCTTTGGAGAAGCAGACCGCACGTCCGGCCAGCTTCGTACCCCCACCACGCTCCCGAACGCAGGCATCAGGGGGTTTTGTTAAATCATTTTTCACTGTAATTCTATTACAGTTGCCCCAGTTTTTCCCCCTTCGCCCTCCTCTGCCCATCCCACCCCCCACTCCCACAGTCAGTTCTCGCCTTGTCCACGTCCCTGGGTCACCCATACATGCTCCTCGTCTAGTCCCTTCCCCTTCAGACGCATATCCTGTTGGTCTCTCCTCTGTGACCACACGCACTCGACTGGGTGTGGTCTCCCCGTCACACAACAGGCGCTCCTTCCCTCCACTCGCTCACTCTTCCCCTCAGTGCTCTGAGTGGGTCTGGACACCGAGGAAGTCCTCACCGCCCCCCACCACCAGCTCCCAGGCGCAGCTGGTGGTTACTGCAAAAGCAGCAGACTCCTCTGGCCCCCAACGGGCCCCACAGCCCTGAGGTGCCATCTCCCAGGGTCTGCGCCGGAACAGCCTCCCGAGCTGACCCTCTGCTCTCAGCCCGATGAACGCCTCCAAGCGGCCTCCCCTCTGGTGTGGACTCATCCCCACCTGCTTCAGAGCCTCCATCTCTGCCTTCCTGCTGCGTCGCGCCCTGAAGAGCCCCACCCCGCAGAAGGCTCCTGAGGCGCGAGCATGGCATCCATCACGTCACAGGTTCGTGGAGCGGCTGCCACGTCTGGGATATTCTCTGGGGGTCATGAACGAGTCACCAAGCCCCACGCTCCTCCTTGTTTACCAGGAGGTGGCCCAGGAGGCCATGACTCCTGGGAGAAAGGGCCCTGGGAAAAAGCCCACCCAAGAGCAGACCCCCCTCTCTTCCAGAACCTGGCTGCAGCCCGTGAGGTCTGTGGCTTCTGGCAGGCAGCGGCTGAGCTCCGGCACCGGATGCAGAAGACCCACATGATGTTGGGAGGCACCTGTGACCCCAGCCTGTCAGTGGTACAGACCCTGCAGCAGCAGCACGGGCTCCTGGGGGTGAGGGCCACGGCCTGTGGACATGCTGTCTGGTCCACTCCCGGAAGGTGGTGGGTGAGGGGACCCAGGTGGTGAGAGGCAAGGAGCCCCCCAGCCCAGGGACTGCTCTCCCAGGTTGCGAAGCGGAGCAGAGGTAGCCTGGGCGAGTATGGGAAGCAGAGCAGGACTCCCCAGAGAGGCCTGGGCAGGTCGCCGGGGGTGAGGTCTGATCCTGTGTTCTGGTGGCGGAGGGAATTGGCAGCCGTGGAGAAGCAGGTGGCCCAGGTGCGGATGGAGGCCTGCCGACAGGGCCTGCTGCAGCCTTAGGCTCAGGAAAGCCAGGCCCAGCCGATGGCTGAGGTGCAGGAGCGGGGTTGGCAGCTGCAGCGGGCTGCCCAGGGCCACACCCTCCCCGGACGCTGTAGGGAACTGCCTGTAGGTGGCAACTGGCTCAGCTCTGCCCTGCGGGGCGGGGTCCCCCTAGCTCTTTGGGGAACCAGACTCTGCCTCCTCCTGCATGGCTCCTGCCCACCCCACCACCCCCAGGCTGCCCTCCAGGCCCCAACAGCAGCCTCCTCTGCCCACCCCACGGAGCATGGGTTCAGGAGAAGCAGGCGCTCGTGTCCTCAGCGGAGCTGGCTGTGGACCTGGCAGGGGCCAAGTGGCTCCTGGAGCAGCATAAGGAGCTGGGGCGAGAAATCAAGGAGCTGCCTTCAAGCCCAGGATGTGCAGCAGGAGGGCAGCAGCTGGTAGAAAGCGGCCACTTCATGTTCCTGGAGGTCCGAGCACAGGGGTGGGCCTGGCACTGAGCTGGGCACAGAGCCCGACGACCTCAGGCCTCGGGACCCCCGGCAGGAGTGAAGCCCGCAGGAGAGGGAGGCCGGGCCAGGGGTGGAGAGGGAGGGGCCAGAGGGGAGGGGCCGGGCCTCTCAGCCTTCCCTCAACACTTGCGCTGTGCACGCCAGCCCAGCCCCACCTGGGTGCTCTGCCCGACCTCTCACAGGAAGCCCCCTGACCCTCCAGGCGACAGAGTGTCTGCAGGAGCTGGAAAGGCAGTTGAAGGCACTGGAGGAGGCCTGGACCCTGCAGAGACTGCAGCAGGGGCTGGAGCAGGCTGGGGCCTGGCTGGCCTCCCGGGAGGATCCTCCTGCTGGACACCAACTGCGGGGCAAGGCCCTGCCCCCTTGCCCGCCACTCTAGCCAGCAGCTCTGGCCAAGGGCAGCTTCCACTGCTCTTGCTTCCACTGGCCACCCAGGCCGGCTGCAGAGGGCGAGGGGAAGGCCCTCGCACCCCCCAGGGCCTGGGCCTCACGCTGGCTTGCTTCTCCCCAGCACTCAGTGTCCGATGTGGAGCTGCTGCTCTGTAGACAGCAGGACTTAGAAAAGCTGCTGGTGGGCCAGGAGGAGGAGTTTGTCCAACTGCAGAGGAGGGCAGGGGTGAGTGAGGCTGGAGTGAGGGACCCCCAGGATGGGGGCCTGAGGGCTGTGGCGGGAACAGTCCCAGCCTCAGCCTGAGGGAGTCGGGGTCTCTCCGGGGCACTGAGCCCACCTCAGACCCTTCAGGGAAACCCCATTCTTTCTCTTGCCGGCTTCAGGTTGCCATCACCTCCATATCCTCGTGGGCTGGGTGGCCACTGTGGACTGGGGTGAGAGGGAGTCCCCTGGGCTGCAGGGAAGCGGGCTCCTGGGTGGGGTGGGTGTGGGAAGGAGAGGCTGGGTACACACACCACCAGGGCCCCGGTGCCCTGACCTGGCTCACCTTGCTCCCTCCCCGAGATGGAACCGAAGCTCCTGCAACAGGTGATGGGGCTCAGATGAGGAGGAGCTGTCCCTGGGCTAACCTTCCCGCCAGCACAGGTCCCTTGGGAGCTGGTGGCCAGGCACACAGCTGGCTGCAGCCAGGTGTCCCAGCTGGGCAGCGAGTATCCTTAGCCACCACCATCTCTCTCTGGAGCAGGCAGCCAGGCAGCAGGGTCCCAGGGGGGGCCATGGGGGTAAAGGCCACACCGGGAACCAGGGCTGAGGCGGGGGACGGGGGTGGTCGACAGTGAGGTTGGAGGAGTGGACACCTACCCACCTTTGCACAGGGGGCCTCCTCGTCCCCTCTGCTGGTCCTGACACTTCCTGGGCCCCGTATTATACTTTCAAGATGTGAGAGCGCCCCTACCACGAAGGGGTCTGTGGAGCTCAGGCAGCAGCTCCTGCCTGAGGGTGGGCAGGCAAGTGCCAGGAGACTCCTTCTCTGGGTAGCCCCTGTCCACAGAACCACTCGAGGGGCTCTGAGGGGCCAGGTCACCTGGCCCTGCGGCACTGTGGACTCTGGGTGCACCTCCCTGGCCCCCCATTCTTAGGGTAGTTTCTTCTCAGAGCCACTTCCCAGCTCTTTCTGCCAAGCCCAGTAGAGGGCGGGACTCCTCTTCCAGTTTCCTCCTAAGCTGTTCCCTGGCTTCCCCTTCCACCCCAGGAACCTTGGTCCTGGCGCAGCTGGTGCCACCTCAGTGCCTTCTTTCTGCAGCCCAGCTCAAGCCCCTGGGGCGGCTATAGTGCAGTCTTGGGGGGCAGCTCCCCAAGCCTGTTCCAGCAGGGGAGGATGGCAGTGGATGTACTGGGAAGTGGAGGGGTGGGGGACACAGCACAAAGGCCCACTGGAAAAACGCTGATGGTTTTGGTGACCCCTGCCTGTCATCTCTCCTTAGAACACGGCTTCCACAGCTGCCCTTGACCTTGTGGGAGCCCCACTGGAGAGTCCAAGGGAGCACCATGACAGGAAGCTTACTCCCTCTTCAAGGTGAGGGCGGCATAGGGAGAGGCGCCGGCCCAAGACGCTGGCTCAGCAGGCGGGGCCTCCCCAGAGCAGCCAAGGGGCTGGAGCCAGGTACCCCTGGGAGGCAGGGGGTTTGACCACGGCTGTCTGGGTGCAGGCCGAGCAGTGGGGCGGAGACCCCCTTTGCAGCACCATCTAAGGGGCAGGCTGAAAGCTGGCATGGAGCCCTGGGCAGCGTGGCAGGTAGGCCCCAGGGGAATGCTGGCGGGTGGGGGCGGGGGGACACTGACTCCCTGGGCTTCAAGCTGCTGGGGTTTTATTCATCTTCGGAAGTTTCACATCTAGTACCTACACAACCTTCAAGGTAAATGGGACTTACTGTCTTTTTGCAAAGAATTTAAGGCCCAGAGAGGGTGAGCAACTTACCGAAAATCACACAGCTACTTAGTAGCAGAGGTGGGGCCAGGCTCGATTCCCAGGTTGCCTCTTGGTCCCATCAGCCTCCTGTGGAGTCAGCCACTCCGACTCCCCCGAGCCCACCCAGGACCCTCGTGGGCTTTTCCAGGCCCCGGTCCGATCCTGGGGTCTTCGCCATCCTTCAGGTCCTCACGTACCCTGAATGTACCTCCCTTGGGGGGTGATGTGGACACTGAGTGGCCAAGCTCAGCTCTGCTAATCTGGGGGATGCCGAGAAAGTGGCCCCTTGGACCCTCTGCATGGAGGGAACGTGTTCAGGGCGTATCCTGAGGCTGCTGGGCCTCCCCCAGGGGGCCCGCCGGGTCCCTCCCAGTCTCTGGGTTCCTGGCCCCGTTCCTCACCATCTGTGTTCCCCTGAGATTACCCTCCAGAATCCCCGAGGGATTCTGAGTTTCTTAGCTGCCAACATTTGGCCTTCTAGGAGGTGAGATGCACTGGGTGGGCCTGCCCCAGGGGTACCTGGCCTGCACCCCCACATGGACCAAGCTTGGTGCTCAAGGGCCTCCAGAAGTGGGGGTATCTTAGTCGGTCTGGGCTGCTAGAACAAAAATACCACAAACTGGGTAAGTTATAACCAGCAGACATTTATTTCTCACAGTTCTGGAGACTGGGAAGTCCAAGATCGAGGAACAGACAGCCTGGGCATCTGCTGAGGGCCGGCCTCTAGCTGCAGGTGGCGCCTTCTTACTGTGTCCTCACACGGTGGGCGGGGCGGAGGGGCTCCCTGGGGGATTTTATAAGGGCTCCGCCCTCAAGACCTAATCACCACCCGAAGGCTCCTCCCATCAGTGCCACCTTGGGGTTAGGGCTTCAGCATAAGAATCGCTGGGCCGGGCAGGGTGGGGGGAAATACTACAGCCAGGAGGAGAGAGCCTGGAGCGACTCTGCCTGCAGCTGGCCGAGCATCAGGCCTGGTGTGGCCAGTGGCCAGGGTCCTTCCCTTGCTCTGCAGGCCACAGTCTAAGCCCAGAGCTCACAGCCAGACCCCTGGACCCCCTGGCTGAGCGAGCTGCTGAGGAGGTGCCCGGCCCGGCCACTCCGCTGAGGTGGGGCACCAGGGCCGTGCCTCCACGGCCAGCACAGACGCTGCCCTCCTGAGCGGAGGTGCTGAGACTCAGCCCTTCGCTGCTGGTGGATGGAGTCACCGCCACAGTGGAGACCCTGACCACCCCCGGGAAATAGCCCCTGCACCCACCCCACGTGGTGGAACCCCGCTCGCTCTCAGCAACGACAGTAGAATCAGGGCCACGAGTCTCCCTTTCCCCACAGCTTTCACGGCTGCCCCCCACTCTCCTCGCTGGGGGAGACACAGGGGTGCACGGACGGCCACCCACAGCCCCTGGAGCTCCCGCAGACAGCCGGCCCTGCGGAGGACTGCGCCAGGCTCCCAGCACTGCTCCTGCTTAGCTGGAGCTGAGGTGAGAGGCACCCGGGTCCCTCTGCCCCTGCTGGAGAGCTCACCTGGCTCTGTCCACCTGGGGCCCACACAGCCCTCACTCCTTGTTCCCCCTCCCGTCCCCGCTCTGTGCCTCCACCCTCTCCTGCTTCCCCAGTCCACGCACCCCGTGCCAAGGAGAAATGGTGGGGCCTTACTGTCCCAGAGAAACCAGGAGTCAGGACGTCGCCCAGACACACACCCACAGACCCCTAAGCCCACACACACCACGCAGACAGACGTGCACAGAGACAGTAACACGGGTACAAGAACAAGGAGCCCCACAGACACACGGAGAGACACACGGACGGTGCGGAGGACCGCCCACAGCATCCTGGGCGGCCGCCACGCCCGCAATCTCCGGGAAGTGTCCACTCACACTCCTGCAGGGCCCCTGGGCTCCCACCTACGATTCAGGTGAGGTGCTGCTGAGTGAACGGCCTGTCCTCCTGGACACGGGCTACCCGCGCAGCCATTTCTCCTGCTCTGTGACTCCGGCTACATGCCCAGGACAGGGACTGAGCGTCACTGGGCCAGGGCAGACAGGTGCAGGGAGAACCAGTCATCTCCCTGCCATCCCCACACCATGCCCACTCCTAGTGTCCATCACACACACACCCAGCCATGACGAGGGGGTGGCCAGGTGTCCCCGGGGAGTTGGCAGCCTGGGGCGCTAGGCACCTGGTTCACTCTGCCTTCCTGTCCTCGCCACAGGCCTCGGCCCTGAAGCAAACTCTGAGGGGCCACCAAACCTCAGGGCTACAAGTGAGGACACCATCTCAGGGACCCGAACAAGACTCAGCTCCCAGGGCCCTACTGACTTCGGGGCGAGACGGTTCCTCTCTCGTTAAGAAACAGGACCCCACCACCAAGGTCAGAGCTCAGTGGAGCTGTTCCTCTAGCCTCTTCCTTCGGCTCATCTGGTCCCAGCTCTGGCCGCCCCACTGGGGGATGGGAAGCAGCCCTCTGATTGTGTCCCTGACCAGGTGGGGACAGGGCCGCCAGCTTTCACTGCCTGCAAGTCTGCTCACCTGGGCAGGGCCAGGGCTGCAACAGCAGAGACCCGCCCCCTCACCGCCTCCCACCCCCGAGACCAAACTGGCCTCCTGCCCACTTTGCTGGGAGCAGATGACCCTCGTTTCAGGGGAAGCCCCTGCTGACTTGCTGGCTCTGAGAGGCGGTTGGGAAGACATTTTGTTTCTTAAACCAGTCCTTGCCCTGTGCGACCAAACGTCTGGAATAACATGTCCCTTCGTAACAGCAATGACAGATCTCAGATAATGCCTCACGTTGGCACGGGCCTCTGTAATGCATACAGCGCTCGATGTCCCTCTGTACAACTACTCGAGGCAGCAAGGGAGTGAGCGCAGACACCGACATGAGCAGTGCTACTGCAGGTGTCCCCACCTCTGACCCTGGCTGACTCTTCTCCTGCCTCGAAGCGTCTCCGGCCCATCCCACGGGGCCCAGGCTGCAGCCCCTGGTTAGAAGGCTCGATCTACCCAGAGGTGTCCATGGCAGGCTTGCTGGTGGCTTCAGTGCCACATCAGTACCACATCTGAGTGACGCTAGGTACACTGTAGGGGGCCCCTAAGAGGGCTGGGAGCCCCCGGCAGGGCCATCTGCACCCCCAGAGTTCTTGGAATGCCCAGTGATGACGGTCTCTGTTCTAACTCAACCAGAGCAGCTGGACAGGCCAGGATTGAGCCTGGGAAAGTCAGAGGCGGCAGGCCGGGCGGGCACCCCGGGCCAGGTGCCGCTGTTACTGGGGCTTGCGCTGCCTCCGCCGCCGCATAGCCCCTCGCAAGGCCTCCAGCAGCTGCTCCCGGTTGTTGCAGATGTTGTAATGCGTCAGGCGGAGCAGCTTGTCAGCATCCTCCTGGCTGTAGGTCACCTTCGAGTAGTGGTAGGGGGAGTCGGACGAAGACAGGTTCACCGCCCCAGCCTCCTTCTCCTCAGCTGCCCGGGGGACGCCTGGTGGGGAGAGAGCGGCCTGACACACGGGAAATGCATCCTTGGGGGAGACCTGAAGGACGGAGGCGGTGGGACGAGGGACAGGGCCGGGGTGGCGACTCACCAGGGGCCGAGTGCTCCTGGAAGGAGTCGCTGACCAGGGGGAAGTGCAGCACAGCAGGGGCTTCAGGACAGTCGGGGTCCGAGAACAGGCGGCACTCCGGAGGCTGGCGCTGCTCCTCCGGGCTGGGAGAGATGGGCGGGAACGGGATCTTCTGCTCTTGGCAGAACCGGCCCAGGAGCTGCAGTTGCTGTGGGATGGGCAGGATGGCGTCAGAGGGCTGCTGACCGAACGTGGCCGTCTGCGCACACACCTTGGACTTAGGGCCTGATGGCCGACTCAGACCAGTGGGCCCGGCCAGACCTGGAAACCCACTCAAACCTGACAGCTCCTGCTGCAGCCCCACCGGGCTCAGCTGAGTGGGGCTGCTAGCAGCGCCCAGATTCTGCAATGGGGAGGCAGAGACCTTGGCTGGACCAAGGCGGGGGCCCCAGAGGTCCAGCACCCACTGGGTGTGTGGGTACAGCGAAGGGGGCCCGAACACAAAGTACATTTCAACATGCTTCCAGTCTGCCCACCACTCCAACTCCCTGAGCAGAGCGAGCTCCCCTGGTTGTGGACTTTAGGAATTCAGTTCCCACTCACAGTGTCACTGACATGGCCCTAAGGGAAGGTGGGACCATCCAGGATGCCGAAGCAGACTGCCCTGGTGGCATAAGTCCAGATGTCAGGCCAGGCTAGGGGTTCCCCACCGCCCCCCAAGCCTGCCTGCAGCCCACCTGAAAGGCTCCGTGGAGGTTATAATCCAGCGACAGGATGAGGTCCACATCCCGTGTGGGCTGCAGGAGGGGCGGGCAGCTGGTGTTGAGAAGGTAGCCAACATCCAGCAGGCAAAGGTGGGGCTCTGTGGGTGTCAGCTTGTTGGGGAGCCCGTCCAGTTTGGTGGCTGGAAAGGTTGAGGGGACGGGGTGGAGAAGCGGCTGTCACAGGTGCTGGGGCACCAGCCCCTCGAGCCTCGTGCCAGCTCCGTGCTGCCCGTGAAAGGAGACTCCGCCCTCTGGCCCTGCTCTCACCAAAGAAGCACCTCCACTTCCTGAGGCCCTGAAGGTGGGCCCCAGTCCCCAACATAAGGAAAGAAAAGGGGGCTCTTGCTCCAAGCAGCCTTGGGGACCAGGGGTCACAGAGTACAGGTGTGTGGGCCAGGGACCCTAGGCTCAGGCAACCCCAGGGGGACTGGAGAGCCGGGACCGGGGGAGAAACAGACACCTTTCCAGGTGGAGAAGTGCGGGTGCTGGAAGTAGTCCTTGTGGAAATGGAGGCCGTGCAGGAAGTTGTGGGCGGCATGGGTGAGTGGCCGCCACGTCAGAAGGTTGGTGAAGAACTCGGCTATCCTGCCGGCCACCGAGGGAGGCTCTTCTGTCCTCAGAAGTGGGCTCTGCTCCTTATCTGCACAATCAAGAGGGAAGGAAGTGGGGTGTCTTGCAGGAAATGGGTACCCCTGGGCCTCTACCCCAGCCTCTATGGACTCTCAAAGGCCTGAGAGCCGCCCCACCTACCCCGAACCCGCCCACTGGCGGCCCCGCTGCACGGTTACGAGGAGTCCAGACACCTACCCAGGCCGGCCTGATCCCGTGCCCAGCGGTCCCAGAACTGGCTGGGCTCGGAGGCCCAGTATAAGCTGTCCTGGAGGTTGGCTGCATACAGATTGCTCCAGATACCTGAGGGGACATGCAGGGAAGAGGATCGCCCACCCCGTCACCATCCTGGACCAGGAAACATTTCCAGGACTGACCTGGGAAGGTCAAAGCCCACCACCTCCCCGGGGCCCATTCTCCCTACCGCCCCAGCTGCTGCAGCCTTCCAGCCTCCTCACCTTCCAGGAAGCAGATGCGGGACTCAGGCAGCCGCTTCATCAGGCGCCCCATGAAGAACTCAGAGCCGAAGAGCTCGGAGGGGATGTAGGCGCCGTACTTGGGAAAGCCGACCTCGTAGGGGGAGAATTCGCACCACTCTGTGAGGAAGTCACCTTACCGTGAGGCCTGAGGACCCTCGGCACCAACACAGCCACCACGGGCTTCAGGTCAGGGTGGTCTGGTGACCTGGAGGCTCAGCCTTCCTGCTGGCACTCTGGGCTTGAGACCCAAGGCCCTCACCCCAATGCCTGGACAACAGTCTGGAAAGCGTGGGAACTGTCCAAGAAGATGAGGGTATAACACCCCCTCCCCCTGCCAACCCTGACAACATGGGTCTCAGATCCAGGTCTCTTACCTCCAAATTCGAAGGTAGTCAGGTTCTTCTCCTTGGTGTTGAGGGCACAGTAGATGGGCAGAGGATTCTGACCTCGACTCAGAGCCTCCCGCTGGTCTGAGAGTTTGTGGTCATGGGCCTGGGGTGAGGGAGATGACTTGAGCCTAGAGCCATGGCTTCCCGGTGCCCGGGGCTTTCCCATCCCCGCCACCCAGGCCCACTTCCACCTCTGGACCTCATTGTGCAGCAGCGCCTCATTGATGAGGGCCCACAGGTTGGTGAAGCAGGTGGGGTGGCCCAGCTGGGCACGCTCGGCCAGCTCCTGCCGGTACCGCTGCAGCTGGCTGGGGGCCAGCACACCCAGCTTGCTCTTTGTCACCTGGGTCTTCAGCAGCTCAGTGGGGCCTGCCAGGTCCTTCTGAGACCACTCTGGGTCCTCATAGAGGTTGGCCAAAGCCCTGGGAAAAGCCAAAGCCAGTGGGACCATCACTCAAGGGCCCTATTGTACACCCTGGGCTCTGTTCTAGGACAACAGCCTGGCAGGTGCCTCCCAGGGGTCCCCCTAAGCACACTCTCCCCAGCACACGCACGCTCTCGGCTCTTCCGATTTGGTCAGAGAGGCCTATGCAGTCTGAGAGCCTTACCACCCTCTCATCCTGCCACAACCCAACCAGCCACTCCCAGGCTCCTAAACTCAGTCTGCCGCCAGCTCACCAGGTGGATCCTGAGGCGCCTGTGATATAGGAAACGCAATCCAAGAGGCCCAGCTCCTTCAGGGCGGCCAGCTGCCCATAGAGGGAAGTCATTGCTCGGATCCCACCGCCGGTGGCCGCGATAGCTACCACTGGGATCTGAAAGACAGGGCGGCCAGGCCTCAGGGAGAAGAAGGCCAAGCGGCCAGAAGATGAGGTGGAAAGCTCAGCTCTCCCATAACTCAGGCTGCTCAAAATCTAATCAGGTCACTTGGGATCAGCTCTAGTCAGGCCTGCAGAGGAGAGTCTAGTCAGAAGTAGCCTCTTGAGGTTGAGGCTTGTCTAGGTTTAAGGACTCCAGGGAAAATGGACCAGATAAGTTCTAGGCCTTGTCTCCTCACCTCTAGCCCCTTAGTAGTCTGGTGATCACCTCTGGAAGCCACAGGGCCACCTCAAAAATCTCCCATGTATGCACCCCTCTCCCTCTTGCAAGGAGAGGTCATCTCCCTAGGAGAGGTGCAGGCTGCACCAGCAGGCGGCCCCACAGTGTGCATCCCACTGACTGGCCAGACCAGGCCGTCTCACAGCCAGGACCAGGCCATGGATCAAGAAACTATGAGAAGGAATGCTAGCCCAGTGGGGCGGCGTGCAAGCCCCAAGAGTCTCGGGCAATGCTCAGAATTCGATGTGATCGATTTCCTGACAACATCGAGAGAGAGAGAGGGCAGGGAGTGGGGCAGGCAGAGACGAGGCAGACCCAAGCCTGGCTGGCAGCAGTCAGCACAGGGCTCTGGGCCCAGCCCGCCCAGCCCCGCACCTCATCCTCCTGCAGGTCTCCATCGAGCTGCAGGGCCTGCTTCAGGGCCTTGGCCACCACCGGCTTCCTCCTGCTCAGGAAGGCGCACTCCTCTGCACAGGGCCCGCAGCCCAGCCGCACGGCCAGCTCCTTTGGTCTGAGTGGGAAGAAGGGCCCGTGAGGCAGCTCCCAAGTCTCATCGAGAACAGGAGGCTGCGTCTGCCTCCCTGAAAAGCCTGGTGCCATCTTGTCCCTTCTTCCCTCTCCCCGGCCCTCACCCCTCTGCCTGCAAACTGGCAGAAGTGCGGCACGTGGGTGACACGGGGAAGGGGTGAACCCAGACCCAGGCGGGAACGCGAGTGGGGGACACAGCAAAGCAGACACAGCAAAGCGGATTCGCAGACCCAGGGACACTGGTGACCGGAGAGGCTCCTCCAGGGTCCTGGGTGCAGACGGGCCCCTGGGTGGGACCCAACAGCACAGATCCACTGCCACCTCTCAGCGTCTCTCCCTCGTCCACATGAAGGTGACCGCTACAGGGGCCAGGAACCAGAGTTCCCACGTCTTTGTGGTGAACGGCTAGTCTCCCAGGCATGTGGAGGGCCAGGGCCGGCGACTCCCCGTCCCAGGAAGGTTAGCTAAGGTCCACCCACAACAGCCGCCACCAAAGTGGCTTGATTTCTGTCCTTTCTTGGTTTTCTTGCCCCCACTGTGCCTCAAAACACTCTCCTAACCTTCCACCTGCTTCCCCAGCCAAATGCTTATCAAGTACCTCCCAGTGCCAGGCACTTGGCTAGGCACACACCCACTCCGACTAAAGCTGAGATGCCAGGAAAATGTTAAAATGAGCCTCTACCTGCTAAGGCTCCCTGCACATCCTGCTACACCCTGGGGGCAGACCCTTGGGCATCTAAGAGAAGACTGCAGGCGGTTGTGCTGGGAAGCCGCCCCATCTCTGCCTTCGCTCCTCCAGGCTGTGCCACCGACTCTCGGCCACCATCTCTGGCTGCTTTCTTTCCCCCGTGACCTTTCTCAGAGCCCAGCCCAGCCACTCACCCTTCTTCTTTTCTCAGTTCCACCCTCATCAGAGGCTCCTGAAAATCATGAATGCGCCGGTCACAAAGGTGGGCCACCCCATAGTGTCCCCATGATCCCTTGGGCCCCCAGCCGTCCCCACAGGGGCCAGGCCTGACACCTGGAGGCGGGGACACTCAGAGCCTGTCCAGCACTTATCCAGGGCGTGGCCCGAGGACAGAAGCTGCCGTGGAAGCAGGCCAGCCCCTCAAGGCCTGGTGCCCGGCCCTGCCTGTGCGTCTGGCTTTCTCTGGTGACCTGTACCTGGGACGTAGGGAAGACGAGTCTCACTGCCTGGCCAGAGGGCAGGGCCCTCAGGGGCACCTTCAGCTGCTCCTGGGGGGCATCCTGCAAGGGGGATGAAAGAAGAACTAAGGCTCTCTACCTGTCCTTTCTGTCAAGGACTTCACCGACTGCCCCTGGGAGTGACAGAGAAGCAGCAGGGAGGGGGACACAAGGCCAGTGTCAGCCCCGTACTCCTACTAGGGCGCCTGACTCTGCCAGGGAGTGAAGAGGGACTGGCGGGCTCCCGGTGAGCAGAGGGACAGGCTGGGGGGAGTGTTGAGGGGGGAGGGGAGAAGGGGAGGCCCCTCTCGGGAGCGCACGGCGCACTACCTGCAGATGAACACTCAGCTCCTGCTCCCAAGAAGCTGGGCAGTGAAAGCAGGGGGAAGAGGCGGTGCCCACGGAGGCCTCCTGTGGACCCTCATAGGACCCGGGAACCTCAAGCTGAACTCTGCCTTCTGACCCTGGAAACAATAACCAGAGCAAAGAGGCTGGGCATAGGATCTCAAGCCAGAGGCCCTCACCTTACCCAAGGCATCTGGGGGGCACTTCCTCCGCCCCACTGTGATGCACCTCTGGCCCAGACCAAGGCTGGAGATGGACTTTCCCCTCTACAGCCCTTCTGAGGCCTAAGGGGGAAAACCCCAGCATGGATCTGCCCCCCAACCCCTCCTCCTGCCTGAGAGCTGAGGACATCTAGTGCAAGGCCCCCGCCAGGCTCCCCCCGAAAGGGGAAGACAAGTGCTGAGGGCTATCCCAGGGGTCAAGGACTCACCCTTCTGGTTCCCGGTCTCCTCCAGTCGGACGTGCAAGCAGGAGAGCTCCCGGGCCTGAGCCATGAGAGAGCCCCTCAGACACGAACCCTCCCTGTGACAGGCCCCCACCCTCCCAACACCCTGGTTCTTGTCCCTCAGCACTTTGTGACGGTGGCCCGAGTCACCAAACACTTGCTTGAGGTTGTGTCCTCTTGAGAAACTGAAATCCTAGGGTTCCCCCCGGCCCCCAGGGCAGGCCTGAAGCTCGGGGAGGACAGCAAGCAGATGGCTTGAGGGAGGGGTTCCTCACTCACCACCAGGATTCCATTACCAACGAGCTGCTCAGCACCATCTCTCCTGCAAGGAGGCCCCGGAGACCCTCAGTGGGAGCCCAGTTTCCCCGGTGCTCACCCCCCAAGGGGGCCCGGGCGCTCCTCCTCCGCCGCCGGATGGCTGCCAGGGAGAGGTGTCGGCTCCAGGTGCTGGGCCCCGTCCTTCCCAGAAGGACACACTCCCACCCGGGAACTGTCCCATGGCCCCGACTCACAAGCTCTGCAGCCGAAATTCAACTTCCAGCTGCTGCTCACCCTGGAGAAAGAAGCAAGTTAGACAGAATGAGAGAGAGAAAGGTGGAGGTGGGGAGAGGAGTAGGGAAGAGAGAGCGAGAGGGCAGATCCCAGCGCAGATCTGCTGGGGCTGCCCCAAGACAGCTGCTCTTGGCTTATGTGTCAAAAAGAGTGTTGGGGACGGGACTGCTTCTCAGGGGACTGCAGCTGCTGGTTGGCAGAAGCCTCTGGGATGCCAGGGAAGCCTCACAAGCAGCGCCCTCCCCGGGGCGGAGCCCTCCCCTGCCGTAGGTGCAGCCTTGCCTGAGGGTTCCGAGGGAAGATTTCTCGGCGAAGTTCCCCAGCCCGCAAAGTCCCCACGTCGAACAGCACCGACAGCACAGGGTCATCATTGGTCAGAAGGTCCTGGTCGAAGACTTGCAGCTGCAGGACATTCTGGAAGGGGACAGAGGGAAGGGCTGCAGGGAGGAGGGGTGGAGTAGGAAGGTGACTGGGGCAGGAGATGAAGGGCTGGGAGGGGCGGGCAGTGGACAGAGACGGCGAGAAGGGCCGGGCTGACTCCAGGCCCACCTTGAGCTGGCTATGAATTCGGAAGCGGAAGCTCTGATTCCAGATGGGGTTTCTGTTGTTCTGAACTGTGCGTGTCTGCAGCCTGTGGCCACAGGCCGTGGGCAGCCAGAGAGTCACGTAGTAGTCAGAGGGGGTCACTGTGGGAAGGAAGAATGAGCACCTGGTGAAGGACAGCCAAGGGCCCTTCCCAGCCTGGCCACCGTCTTTCCATCACAGGCAGCCCAGGAAGACCTAGACCCGAGGAATGGGGCTGGGTCAGGAGGCAGGGAGAGCAGAGTCCCCGCCGTGACTTCCCACCCAGAACCCCCACTCGGCGCCCCCCCCAGGAGGCCCCAGCACGCCCAGCCCTACTCACACCTCTTCCCTCTGTCCCTGCTCCACCCTGAATGCACCGGCGTAACTGTCGCCCTTCTGGGCCCAGCACTCACCTAGGTCCTTGGAGGGCAGGCCACGGGCCTGCAGGATTCGAACGGTGAGCAGGCAGGTCCCAGGCACCTTCGCCTGCAGAGGAGAGAGAAGGGGCTGGGTGTGCTGTAGGCAGAGAGACCGGAAGGAGAGAAGGGCCTAAGGGGAGGCCAGTGAGACCCCTCGAGGCCTAATCCTGGACCACAGGCACAGGCCTGCCCAGCCACAGCCGTGCAGGGGACAGACGCTGTGACCCCTGCTGAGGACGCCCGTCAACACTGACACACTGCTCTGTGCTGGCTCCGGGCCAGTCTTTCTGCACAGTGATTCATTCACTTACACAAACACCCGGTGTGTGGGGACCACCTATGACCAACCTCACCAGGAGACCGAGGCGGGAAGACTAGTCACTGGCCCAAGGTTCAGGGCCAGGATTGGACCAGGTCGCTCCAGGCTTGTGCTCTCAATCCCCACACTTACCTGCTTCCACGTGCTGGCATACTCTCCCTTCACCCCCATCCCCAGCTCACCCTTAGTAAGCAGACTTGAGGCTGGTCCTGGGCAGCAGGGGCCCAGGGAAGAGGTACGTCAGGACCCCAGCCCGGCCTAAGGCCCCCCCATTCCTGGCTGAGCCGCTCCCTTCTTCCAGCCCCCCACCCCTGGCCAGGGAGCAATTCTGCGAATGGGCTGTCTCCTGAGGTAGAGACAGCAATCGCCAGGTCACACCGCCCACAGGTTGTCCCGTCCCTCCCGTCCGACCAGGTCAGGCTAACGATGGCCCTCAGGCAGCTCCATCCAAAACCACAACCCTGGGTCTGAGGGTACGGATGCCGGCAGGCTGCCGAAGCGGGGAAGACCCGCGCCAACCAGCCCTGCCCTTCAGCCTCCAGCCCCACCTCAGGAAGGGCCCTGACGGAGTCCAGAGAAGGGCCGGGGAAGCTCATTGATCACTGTCAGCCCTGGAGCCCTCGCCCCAAGCAGCTGAGTCGGAAGGAGCAGTGGAGCAGCCACTTCCTTCCGAGGCCCCAGCACAGTGGCTGGGGGCCTGAGCCACCAGGGCCCAGGTCCGTGACGCCAGGGAGCTCCACTCGGAGCCTATCACAAGGGCGGGAGGAACCCAGGATGGCCCCTCGTCCCAGGTCCCTGCCTCTTCCCTGGCTTCTGCGCACCACGCTGGTCCAAGCCGACAGCTCTGCTAAGGAGCAGCATTAACCAGGCCCGGGAAAACCAGAGGTTAGAGTGCGGGCCCCGTTCTCCACCAGTCTTACCAGAGCCATGAGGCTGAGAGTCCTCTGGAGCGAGGAATGACAGGCAGTGGCTGGAAAACCTGGAAAACCGCGGACTGTCAGCTGTGTCATCCAGCACCAGGGATGCCCCAGCTGACTCCAAGCTCCTCCCTGGTCCCTCCCAGCCACCTCCGCTCCACCCAAGCCCCACACTCATTCCTGGACCATTCACCTGTCCAGGAAATGAGGCATCTTAAACCTGTACGAAGCCACTAACCTCCCTGTGGCGGTGGCTTAACACCCCCAAAATCCATTCTCTCCAGCCATCACCCCCTGTGCCCACCCGTCCAACCCTGCTTTCCCTCCTCACCTAGAGGAGGGACCCAGGAGAGCTCGCTGTCAGAGGCCGAGCAGGAAGAAACAGGAAGGTGGGGCCTGGAGGGACCACTTAGGTCTGGAAGCAGTGGGTGGGCCGAGGGCAACAGTGAACGGAAGAGGAAGAGCCATGTCCCCCAAGGCAGGGCCCTTCCCTACCTCCTGGTGCCGTGCCGGTATGGCAGGCAGACCCAGTCTTGACTGAAATGGTTGGCCAATCTGAGAGGAGTGCCCCGGGCCCCATGATGACCTGGCAGGGGTGTGGTTTGTTCTATGAAACAGCCCTTCAAAGCCGGCTGCCTCCGTCCTTGGAGCTGGGTGCTAGGTGATCACGGATGCGGCCTGTGGGTTGGCACTCAGGAGAGGGGGCTCTTTCATCTCCAGGGCTGGGCTGGTGGGGAGAGGGGCAGCAGCTTCTGTCCCCTCCTACCTGTGCTTCTTGTAGGAGGGACAGGGGTGACCCTCAAGGCACCAGACCCCACAGGCTGCCCCAGAGCGGGAGGGAAGGAGAGAAAAAGTTAGGAAGAGCTTTACAGACCCCAAACCAATGAGGCCTGCGCCAAAGCATCACTAGACGGGGGTCGGCCTCCCTGCTGCCACGGGCACAAGGGCTGCCATGAACGGAGGGGTCCTGGCACCGGAGAGCTCCTCGGGCCAGGCCTGGACCCAGCCCTCACCTCAGTCAGTCACCCTGAGATTTTCACCTGCCCTCACCAGACCACAAATAGCAACTTCAAGAGGAAGAATCAGCACACGCAAGTCACAGCTCTTTTTATTGAACCGCCCTTGCAGATACTATCTCCAGGCCTCACAACACCCCGTGGGGCAGGAACAGTCCTTACCTGTCTCACAGACAGGACACCAATGCTCCGAGGCACGAACACACCCCGGGTCACGGAGGTGAGAGGCCGTGCCACTGCCTCCCCTGGGTGAGCCCACCCCCACGCCCGCCTGGTGCCTTGTGGCCCTCCAGACCGCCCCTAGAGACCCAGCAGAGCTGACGGCAAGCCAAGCTGGGCCAGGAGCCAGCACACTCTGACTCCAAGCTGCCTCCGGAATTCACCTGGCCCAAGAGGGAAACGACCTCTTCCATGAGCTGTTCTTGGCAACAGAATTCACCAGGCTCCATCAGTCAAGGCCTGTGGCCTTAGTGAGGGAGTCAAGCAGCTGGAAGTAACTGTACTTGAGGTCATACTCCATGTCATACCAGAAATTCACTGCAGAGAGAACGAGACGCGAGCATGAGGGTCCCCCTACTCACCCACAGCCTCCCTCGCCCGCCCGCCAGATGCCCTGCTGGTCCTGCCGCTGGGTGATGGGCAGCTCCTCACCAGCAATGCAGGCATGAGACTGCTGGACGTGGTGGAACCACAGGGCTGGCAGGTAGAGCATCTCACCAGCCCGCACCGTGCAGCGCAGGGCCTGCGCCTGACTGTAGCTGGGGTACCGAACCAGATCTGGGGCCAACGGGTCCAGTGGGATCCAGGGCACCTGCAGACACAGCGGATGCCCGGACAGGCCCTGAGGCCCAGGCCCTCCAACGCTGTCTCCTCCAAAGGTAAACACCTCAGGCTCTGCCCTGCTCTGCACCGGGGGCCTCCAAGAGGCCCCAGCTCCTCTGGGCCTGCTCCTCAGAGCCCAGACTCGTACCCTTCCCTCCCTGGGGCCCAGGAACAAGATGAACACCTTCTCCATGGCCTCCTCATCCACCATCTTAAAAGAGCCATCTTCAGTTAGCTGGTAGGTTGCCGGTGTGTACATCTCTGAAACCAGAGGGGGAAAGGTGTGGGACCCCTCAAGTGGCCTACAGCTTGCCAGCCTCCACTTACTTATTCCCTGGGCACAGGGGCAAGAAGGTCAGGAGCCCTAGTTCGGTGGAAACACGGTGTTCACAACTCAGGCCCAGGGCATGAGCCCGCCCAGGGCCCTCGCTACCCTCCCTCCACCTTGGGCTGCCTGCTCCCCAGAACTCCTCCCGCAGGCCGAGTCCCTACCATAAGGGATGAAGGGCCGGTCACTGGGTGGATGCAGCAGGAAGTGTTTCTCTCCCGAGAGCACGCAGTAGAGGTTCTCATAGTGGTCCTTATGCACTGCCAACACAAAGGCGGCCCCGAGGGCAGGCACAGGAGGGGCAGACAATCATGCTGGGGCCCTGCACCCCGAGACGGCTTATGGTGTGAGAGAAGAGCACACCGTGTCGGAGCAGGTCTGAGGGGAAACCTGGCAGGGTTCTGGCATTTCTGATCTCTGTCCTCCGGGGACTTGACACTTGCCAGGCCCTGGGCTCATCTCCACCAGAAGGAAAATTCTAGCAAACAGGGCTCTCCTGAGTTCGCTCCCTGGCCCAGCAGGCCTTTGAAAAGCTTTCTAGGGACCTAGAAGAAACAGCACCCTCCACCTGCCACGCCAAGGGTGCCGTCTCCACCTGAGCTGTCAGGCGAGGCCCTCTCTTGTGTCCGAGGCCAGAACCCCAGGAGGAATCTTGGAGGAAAGTCGGTCTAACTTTTGGCCAGGCCCGACCTTCCCCACTTGGTCTGCCCTCCACCTGATACCTACAAGATGTCACAGCGGCTGCCTCTCCCAGCCAGAAGTTCACAGCATCGGGCATCTTTCCTGCAGGTCAGAGGAAAGAGGGTGAGTTGAAAGAGGGTGTCCCAAAGGCCAGGCTGGGAATAGCCACCTTACAGTGATGCCAGGCCAGAACTGGGTGGGGAGAAGAGGGGCTGCAGGAAGGGAGCAGGGAGAAAGGGCAGAGGCGGGCCACTGGCAAGGGGCAGCAATCTCCAGTAGTTCACTGATGGAAAGGAAGCTGAGGCCTGAGAATCTGAGTTTACTGCGTAACACCTAACCTTGTGGCCAAGAGCGTGGGCAAGTCACCACTGACGGGAGACAGTAAGCAGGGCTCCCCCTCCACTCACTCACCCAGCGCCTCGGAGGCCCAGGGCACGTGGGGCTCCAGATCAGGCAGCAGCTGGGGCAGCTCTGTGGGCAGGTTGGAGCATTGCTTCTGCACATAGAGGACTCCTGGGTGCTGGGCTCGGCCCTCCAGCACATCGAGCACACAGCTCAGAGGCAGGCGGCGCTCGGCAGGCATCACAAAGCGGTCCCCTCGCACGGCATCTGCGTAGCCGTCTGGGGTCACGGCCACACTCACCTCCGTGGAGCCCACTGTGGCTCTGGAAGAATGGACATTCGGCTTCTGCCCAGATGCCATAAAGCACCACCCACATCCCGCTGGGGCAGCCCCAACCTGAGGTAGGGGAGTGACCACTTCTGGAGGGCCGGCCAGTGCTGCAGGGCATTGCGGATGATGCAGGGCCTGTTGGGGCAGACCCAGTCCCGGTAGAAGTGAAGCGGAGGTGGAGGCTTGTCCAGGTAGGGCATAGCAAGAGGCACGCTGAGCTCTGAGAGAAAGAGGGGAGCAGGGGGCGAGGGAGAGATGAAGCCAACGGCACCCAGTCGCTGCCCCACTGTCTGCATAAGAGATGCCCTCCCTGGGCAGGTCACACTGTATCTCTAGACAATGCGCATTGGTGACCATAGGATCCCAGACAATCGGGAAATTTAAGGGAGAAAGCCTGACATACTCACAAGCACACGACTATGGGCCACAGAGGCGGACAGGGCCAGGGGCGTGCTCAGTCCATAACCCAAACTCTCCTTGGGGCCATGTCTGACCCTTAGCTTTCCCACTCTGGAGTGGCCGACCTCCCGGCATCCATTAGGAAAGGCGGCCACTGGGTGGTACTGGGAGCTCCGGCATGAACAGAGCTGAGGCCCAAGGTTACAGGCTGGCAAGGGGGCTGAGGCTCTGGAAAGCACTTTGTAACAGTGACATTTACCGAGCCCCTACATTGTGCTCAGCACTCAGCCTGGCCAATGTGGAGGTATCAAGGGATGATCCAATCAGCATCGCAGGAAGCTTACAACCAAACTGGGGAGACAGACCACCTCACAATACACAGGAGGAAAAGCAGGGCTACGGTGTCACCATCCTCAGACACGGGGCTGCTGGGAGCCCCGGGCAGGGAGCGCAGTGCGGGGTCTCCAGCGGCTCTGTGCCACCCCAATAAACCTCTCTTCTCCTGACTCTTCCTTCTCCCTCACTCCTGTCTGAGGGAGACAGCCTACTGACGGTCTCCAAGTCCTGTTGATTCTACTACCTCCTGTGTCTCTCAGTCTACCCCCTCCTTCCTTCCTCTGCTGGTATCCACATTCACCTACCCCCTTTGAGTCCTCAAACGTCACTTCAGTAAGACTCCCCCCACACCCACCCAGCTACCTGCTTAAAAAACTATAACCTCCCCAAAATCCTTATACCCCTTCCTTTACTTTCCTCTCTCCCTATCATTTATCATCATCTAACATACTATATATTTTACTTATCTAAACTGTTTACTGGTCTCCTGGTAGAATATAAGCTCCATGAGGGCAGGGATGCTTGTCCTGTTCACTGGTGCATTCTTGGGACCTAGAATAATACTGAGCACACAGTAGGCATTCAGTAAATGTTTACTTAATGGTTAAATTCAAGTCTCCAATATCTCCTGGTTGGATGGTTGCTGCAGTGAACTAACTGGTTTCTTGGGCTTAATTCAGCTCCCTCTCAAAGCGTCCCTCACCCTGGCCCCCATCATCTTCCTAAAATACAATCTCATCTGGTCACACCCCAAGCAAAAAAAATCCTTTGATGACTTACCACTCATCCTTACAACACTGTCTGCCTTGGCATGCACTCAGGCCCAGCCTACTTTTCCGGTCTGGTTTCCTCGCCCGGTGCCTGCACGTTACCTCACACCACTGAGGCAGCATTAAACTTTGTTCCTATTCAGACTGGAATGCCTTTCTCCTGGCTTTTACAAAGGGTTCAGGCCTTTGCTTTGTTATTTTATCCCTGAGGTCTAGCCTGAATGTCACAGCCCCCAGTGGGCAGTTACTGCATCCTGCTCCAAGCAGCCACCGCATTCGTTTTCACCTCTGAGGTCACACTCCATCTCTCACAGCCGTGTCTCTCCAGGCATCTCTGCCTTGCGATCAGTCAGAAAGTGAAGGTCACGAGATCAAGGATTGGAACTGAGTGGGAAGGCAGACCCTGGCGGGTCTGGGGAACACAGAAAAGGAAAGAGCTGGCATGTGTGCCTGCTTCACTGGCGAGAGGGTAAGATGGGCTCTGCCAGGCGGATGAGCCAGCAGAGGGAAGAAGCTGGCAGGGGGCCTTCCCAGCCACGCCGGCCCATCTAGGCAGTCACCCTGCGGGGTGCGGGATGTGGGGCTCAGTGAATCTCCCTGTGACTCTCACTAGAACTTTTAAAGTACACCACAACTGTTTTTTAACCCTTTGTACTTTCTTCAGCTACTTCGGTTTTACTTTCTTACCATTTAAGTTTTCCTGCAGAGAATGACTACTCTTTTCTCCTGGGGCTTCAAAGTGAGGGAATTTCAAAAGGAATCTAAAAAATTCCATTGGCCCCACTCTTCTGCTAGAAATTTAGGCGACCCACACACTCACAGTCTTTGCTCCATTCCAGGCGCACAGGCCTCTTCACTGTCCCCTGAACCACCAGGCACACTCCCACCGCAGGACATCTGCCCATCCGTGCCCTTCACCTGATGTCCTTCTCAGGTGTGCGCACAGCTCCCTCCCTCCAAGCCTGTGCGCTAATGTTGCCTTATCAAGGAGGCCTGCCCTGACCATATCGTTTAAATGTGTAACCTAAAGGACTCATGGACACGGACAACAGTGTGGGGATTGCTGAGGGAGAGGGGTATAAGGGGACTAAATGGTAATGGGGAAAAATACAATAAAGATTAAATTAGCTTTCATCTTTCGGCTCAAAGGAGGCAAAGATGCAACTTTCTTCAGTCATCCTAAATCCAGGTTCATCCGACACCAGCCGCCTCCACCATGCTCCCGAAACCCTGAGGTCAAAGTCATAGGCTCAAGGTGCACCGGCAGGGAAGTCTATGCCATGTCTGCCATGTCTGCCCTGGCCCCCAAGATCGGGCCCCTGGGCCTGTCTCCAAAAAAGGTTGGTGATGACATTGCCAAAGCAACCAGCGACTGGGAGGGTCTGAGGATCACAGTGAAACTGATCATGAAGAACAGACAGGCCCAGACTGAGGCAGTGCCTTCTGCCTCTGCCCTGATCATCAAAGCCCTCAAAGAACCACCACGAGACAGAAAGGAGCAAGAAAAACATTAAGCACAGTGGAACTATCACTTTTGGTGAGATTGTCAACATTGCCCAACAGATGCAGCACCGATCTTTAGCTAGAGAACTCTCTGGAACCATTAAAGAGACCCTGGGGATGGCCCACTCTGTGGGCTACAATGTTGACAGCTGCCACCCTCATGACATCACAGATGACATTGACAGTAGTGTAGTCAAGGACTACAAATGAAACGATTTCAATCAAAAGTCATTTGACAACCCCCCAAAAAAGATTAAATCAAAAATAAAAATAAATGTGTAGCCTGCCCTCCACCCTGACATCCCGAGGTCCATCACTCTACTTTTTCTCTCTCATAGCACTTATCTTGTAATCCCCTTCTACATAATTTCCTGAGTGTGTCTATGGCTCACTGCTTGTATCCTCACTTAGAACTGCAAGCTCTGTGAGGGCACAGACTGGTTTTGCTCAGTGATGCGTCTTAAGCCCACTGAACAGAGCCTGGCCCACTGATGTGCTTAAGCACAGCCATGGGCTACATGTTCAAATGTTTTGGTCAACAACAGGCCATAAATACAATGGTGGTCCCATAAGGCTTGTGGTGATGCTGGCAGTCACATACAAGTATGCATAGCACATACAATTACAGTACTAGGCTATATCATCTAAGGTTGTGTACACATTCTATGATGTTTACACAACAACGAAATTATCACACATGTGGCACATGGTTGTATTTATTAAAAGAACACTCAAAGTATTCGATGCAGCTCTACTGAAAACAATAGTCTGGGAATGACCTATACCCCTTACAGCAATGGGCTGATTAAGTAAATTACAGCACTAGTATCCACATGTGAAAAAGACTGCAGTGCAGGAATATGGAATGATCTCCAAGATACATAACAAAGACAGGTATGTTTAGCAGGCTACCATTTGTATGAAAAGGGAGGTAATGTGTGTGTAGATATAAACAGTATTTTTGGAAGAATGAAAACTGGAGTCTGGAATGGGAAGAAAGCTTACTTTATGTTATAAAACTTGTTTTTTAAACCATGTGCCCATGTTCTACTCACTGGTGAGAAATGACTAGCGAAAAATAGGAGAGAAGGGTGGGAGAGAGGAAGGGAAAGAGGAGGGTGAAAAATAAAAACCTAGCAGCGGAGAGGCAGGGATCATTTACACAGCTGCCCCCAATTCTCCCCAAGGTCTGAGCGGCCCCTAGCTTGCAGAAGTCTGCTCTTAAATGGAGTTCCAGTAGGAATTCAAAGACAGAGAATCCGACCAACTGAAAGACTTTAGGACAGGAAAGGGTGGAAAGGGAACACACCCCCGATTACTCAGTGTGGGGCTGGCGTGGGAAACATGACAGCGCCCAAATACTCAGTCACCCCAGGAAGCCACGAGGACATACAAACATGCGAGGAGGGGTGCTGAAGCCCTCCACCCGCGGCCTTGGGGGAGGTTCGACAGTGACCGGAGAGGAGGCATAAACTTGTCACGTGCACGAGAATGTGCGCTCCTCGAGGGGACAGTCTCGTGTCTGCGTCCCGGAAGCACCAGTGCCACACGATTCCGGAACCCGGTCCCCGGCTTGCCCGCGGCCCCTCCCGCGTCCTGAGATTGATTCGCAGCCAACGCCAGGATGCCACAGCCTGAGCAAACCCACTCACCTCTTACCACCGCCGGGAATTCTCGTAACTCCCTCCGTATGGCGTCCAAAGCCACCTCCGCCATAACAGCGCCGCCACCGCCCCACTCCGCCGTCCCCGAGGCCCCGCCCCCTCAAGATCGCCCTATCTCCAGGCCCCTCGCCTCTCCGACGCTCACGCCGGGGCTGGAGGGGCGGGGGCTGTTCCCCAGCAGTCCCCGAGACGCGGTCTGCCCCCACCACTGAGGTCCGCAGCCTGAGTTCGGCCCTCCACCTGTCCCCGCCCCCAGTGCACTGCAGGATTCCGCCTTCCACGCGACAAGTGAGAAATGCCTTCTGTTGCTTGTCCCGCTTGCTGGCGTCCCAGAGTTAACAAACGATTTTTTTATTGACCAGTTCATACATCAATACAAACGGACATGTTAAAAACAGCCCCTGCCCCTTGAGACCTGGGGAGGAGGAAAGCATCAGGTCCTGAACAAAATATAAAAAGTTATAAATAAGGGGCTTTCAAAACCGGGTAGGAAAATCTGGACAGGGCCAGCAGTTATTGCTGGCCTCAGACATGCAGAAGGGAACGGGCACTAGCCTGGCCAAAAGACAAACCTCTTCTGGGCTGGGGGTAGGAAAAGGCTGTCCACCTTCTCACTATCATAGCCGGAGTATTGCTCCCTCGTGAGGGACGAGCTGGCCAAGGATCACAAGGAACCCAGCCCAGACAGCCTGGTGTGAGCCCTATTCTAGGTGGGCTGTGGCTGGTGTGCCCTTGGGGGTGGGAGTCCACCCTCAAGAATTTCTTGGGCTGTGAGTTCTTGGGCCCAGAATTTCTCTGCAATTGGCCATACACGTGGTGATAGTAGAGTGGGGATGAAATAGGATTCATCTGTTTAGGTGCAATCAGGCCAAGCCAAACAGCTGGGCATCCTTCAGAATCCAATTTCTTTTTTCTAAGCCTCTGCCTGTTCAGCCAGCAGGGCCCAAAACCTATCTTTGGGAGGAGAATGGGCTTTTGTGGCCTGGAGCTATAAATAGTAAAGCTGCCCTGCCTTACCAGAGGCAGAGGGAAGCAGTAGGGCCCAGAGACACATTCTTCACCCCAACTCATAACTGCTTCACTACTTGATTCTACTCTACCTGCCCACCGTGCCCTGCCTCCTTCCCGAGACACCGAACTGCCTTTCTAATTCTAATCTATCCCCTCACCTCCACCACTTACCTGTCCCTCTTAACCACCTTTCTGGTGTGTCTCTTGGCCCCTCCTGCAGACCCACGTGCCTCCCTCCCCGTACTCCAATATCCAGAGTACCCTGGGTGCCCAGCACTGCCTTTGATGAGACTCCTTCTACCACAAACAAGTACCCTATGGGCCTAGATTGTGGACTCCTAAACTGTGGACACCAAGAATCCAGAATCGGGGGTCAGTGTGTTCTACCCCTTTCATGCTTCTTCATTGGCATTCCACAGGAGCCAAGGTGATGAAGCTGGGGCAGGACGTGAGAGGAAACCAGGCACACATCCATCAGCCAAGAACACTAGCAATGAACACGCAATTGGGGTGCGTATGTGAGAGATTTCATCTGTGGCTAAGGTCTTTAGAAAGTGGGCCAGTGCCCTGTAAACTGTGAGGGAAACTCCAATACAGGCTTCTGACTGAGCATCACTCAGATGCAGGGAGCAGATGGTCTCTAGGCTCCAGCAGCCTGCTGGGGACCAAGACTAAGGGTTGGAGGATAGTGAAAACCAAAGGGCTGAGGAAAGGAGCCAGGGCTTCATGTCTGCCTAGCAGAGGGCTTTACTGTCCTGCAGCAATGTCCCCCAGCTGGCTCTACAAGTTCTGGCCAGGACGGAAAGGGGGCACAGGTTGAAAGACAATGTCAGGGCCCTCTTTGGAGAGGGAATGGGAGTGGAATGTGGGGGCTTGGGCCTTGATACAAATTCAAGACACCTAATGGCTGGGAATGCCCCGGAGGGCCAGAGGGCTCTGCCTTTCTGAACTGCCAGGAATTGGAGAAAATGGATAACCCCTGCTCCGGCAGCCAGGGGAGTGCAGCTGGTGTGGGAGGGGAAGTGGAGGTAGAGGAGAGGCTCTGCTCCGCTGTTGGCTGAAGGGCACTGAATGCCACATTATCACTCACCTCTACCCACTAAATACCCTGTGTGTGTGCTCCACCCCGGGGAGCTGATCCCTGCAGTAATTTCAAATGGCTTCTAAGAAGACAGAGGGCCAGCCCTTCCTGATCTCCCCCAGAGGGGGCAGGCCGCCCTCCTACTCTTCACAGCACCAAGATGACAAAGACTCAGACGTAACCCCTGCATGAGCCACTGGACAGGCTGTGGAGGCAGGAGTTCCAAGTGAGGCAACAATCAGGGAAATAAATTAATAAATACAGGGGCCCCATGAGGAGCAGCTGGGAAAATTGCTTCCCCTCTGAGCACTGATCACTGTTATCCACTCCAAGCATCCCCACAGGTTTCAGGGAGTGGAGGAGGGGCTGGAACAGGGGAAGCATTCACTTAAGACAGGCTTCTGGAATTCAGAGTCTGCGCTCCATGCGACGCTCCACAGCTCGAAGCAGTAGCTCTGAGTATTGCTCTAGCAGGGCCTGTGTTTGCTCAGCTCCCACGGCCCCAGGGCTCCCGCCCGGGCTGGACAGCACAGTGCCAGCCAGGGCCTCTAGCTCCTGCCGCACTGAAGAGAAGGTATTTCTGAGAAGCTGGGTGATGCGACTTTGTTCCACTGAGGGTGTCTTGCAGCTGGCCACCTGCAACAAGGGCCCAAAAGTGAGTTGGAGGAACAGAGAAGGGAACCTGTCAACAAATGTATAAAAAGGAGGGGCCCCACCTAGGCAGCCTGTCCCCAAAGAAGGGACTGCATGCCCAGCTGGGTATGGCTGGGAGTTCCACACTCCAGGATCAGCAATATGACCAGCAGCTACGGGACAGAGGCAGACTCTGGGTGACCAAAAGGTACAGCCCATCAGATTACGGGACCATCTACATTTTGTTATTAACTCCTCTTTCAGGGTGTAGCCCCGCTGGACTGCCCCCAAGTCCAAAGTGGCCAAATGGTGTGGAATGTGAAAAGGGATACTATCAGTAATTACACTGGGACAACAGGCATAAACTGAGGTGGTCCTAAGCAAATTAGGACATGTGGGCTCTAGCTCTTGTCTGAGGAAGTCTCTAGCTCTTAGCCAGAAATAACCAAGAGATGCTTGGTTCAAATGGCCCAGCCTGGCCTCTGACTCCCTCAACTCCTCTGCCCAGATGTTCTGAATTGCTCCACCCACCCACCAGTGGAAGAGCCCTATCTCTATGTTCTGAATACTCAGCTAGCACTCCTAACAGGCTCTGTCTCCCAGACTGTGGGTTCCCAACCCATACCAAGTGGTAGAGCTGCACAGCCTGGCGCACACTGCCCTGGAGCTCTGCCACAAGCTGTTCGCACTGCTCCAGGCTCACCAATGGTTCTGGAAGAAGACAGACACAGCTCAGGCACAGCAAATCTGCCCTCTCAGGCCACCCCACCCATAGCCACTCAGAGCAGGACAGGCCTAGCTACCCTCCAGCATCATACCCTCCCCCCACCACTTGCCCTCAGTCTCTTCCTCTTGCCTTTTCCTTCCCAATGCCCTCCCCCAACAATGCCATACAGAAAATAAGGTCCAGAGAAAAGGGACAGCCCCAGGGGCCAGAAGGCACTGAGGGGCAAGTGGATTACAGACAGACCATGAGGTTGGCAGGAGTGTCTCACCATCAGGGGTGTGACTTATGGATCGAGACGGGAGCAGACAGGACGAAAAACGCCAGAAGCTGGACTCACAGAAATGGGATGGAGCCAGAGAGTGGCCAACAGAGACGGGAGAAAGAGGATGGGGCAGGAGATGAAAGCTGGGGAGCTGTGCACACCTGAGGCCTGGCTTAGGGCTGCCCCTGGCCTGATGCACTCCACGGGGCTGGGAGTCTTCTCAGGGGTTGGGGGCTGCAAGTTCTCAGGGCCTTGGAGGAGGCTGCCAACTGACGGGTGCTGGGCACAAGGGCTGTTGGGCCCAGGCTGAACCTGGCACTCTGTCCTAAGCCTGGGAGAGGTGTCCTCCCCTAAACAGGTTCGCCTCTCAGATGTACTGTGAGCCTTTCCTAGGCCCACTGGGGAGCCAGGCCGTTTTGCCTCACCAGGGGCCCTGCCCTTGGTAACAGGTGAGAATGTGGCCAGGGTGGGACGATCAGGTAGTGGCTTTGGAATGTCCAGGACCAGGTGAGCCCGGCTGGGCAGGGCCAGCTGCCTGAGTGGTGAGACCCGCATGGGGACAGGAGCTTGAGTTTCAGCTGCCAGACCCAGGTTCTCCCCAACAGAGATGCTGCGGGATATCTTGGCCATAGAACTGGTGGTAGGGTTCTGGTAGGAGTGGGGCCGAGACAATCGACCATTAGCCTGGGGCAGGGAACTCGGGCCCTCCTGGGCTTCCATCTCCGGTAAGAGTAACGGGCCTGGTGGAAGAGCCCCACCTGTAGAGGAGACAGAGACAAAAGCAGGTCAGGTAGTAAGGAAGGTGTCCCAGGTGCCAAGGCTCAATTCCTGAGGAGCTGTGTCCTGCAAATACCCACAGAAGGCCACCCAGTGGCAAGCACAGTAACAGGACAAGGGCTACACCAGGCCCTCATCCCCCTAGCGTGCTCATGTGCTCCCTCCACACTCCCCACATCCTGAAGCTGAGCCCACCAGGCTCCTCACCCTGTGATGCCAGACTCTGCACGGACTGGGCTTTCTGGAGTCCACCTGAGGGGCTGGTGGTGGCCACTCTCTTGGGGGTCCAGCTGCTGTCTGTGTTGAGACGACGTCGTGGCAACAGCACAGAAGCTGCCTGCTGGGGGCCAGGGTTCCCAGGGGAGGCTTCCACCTCTGGGGGTGCTCCTGGAGGATTAGTACCACTGCCTCTCAGCTGCTCACCAGAAACCTGCGGCACCTGGACTGGCCTCAACGTCAGTGCCAAGCTTGAGGAAGATGGGGATGGTTCCCTACAGGGAGAAGATGTGGGAGAAGGCCCAGAAGAGCTCAGGGTTCTTTCCTGCCAAGATGGGGAAAAGCTCTCATAGTACTAGGGAGGCGCTAGGACAGAAGGGCAGGCCCCAAACCAGCCAGGCTGGTAGTCTCAAAACTTGGGAGTGCAAAATACTCTTGGGCATGGGAAGCCTTGGAGAGAGGAACGCTACAGGATGCCCAGGGGACTGGCCCTACTGGAAGGAAGCACTGGAAGGTCAGGAGAGCTGGAGCTCCTTGTGACACAGCCAGAGCTGCTGTGGAGAGAGTACCTGAGTGGGGGCGTCAGCACTTGCAAAAGGAATCGTGAAGAGATGCTCTGAGACTCTGTCCTCTCCGGTGCCCGGACTGGGCCCCCTGCCAAGGTAACAGAAATCAAGAAATGAAGCAAACTCTTGCCCCAGATTCTACCCGTAGAGAAGGCAACCCCAGAGCATGGCCTCTCGGCCATGAACCGAGGAGAGCAGGGCAGACTGCGGTGACCATATGCTGCCCTCTGACCACACCTGGAGCAGCCCCATTGGCCAGAGTCTCAAAGTGCTGCTTTAGAAACTGCTCCTGATCCGGGGTACAGGGGCTGCCTTCCTGCGGCTCATAGGGGCCAGTGCCTCCTTCCTCTTCCTCCTCTTCCTCATCACCCTCAGCTGGCTCTTCAAGGTCTGAGGAAATGCCATCCACACTCAGGGGCTCCGTGCTCTCAGAGTCTGGATATGGGGGGAGGGGAAGAGAAGCATCACGCTGCACCCATCTGTCACCAGAGCCTCCCCTCCAACCTCAGTCCACTGACCTGCATGGCTCTGGCCCTCCCTCAGGGATGTAGCCTCACCTTCATTGGGGTGCTCAGGGCTGGAAAGGCGGCTACTGCTGTAATCCACAGAGCAGGCACTGTCAGGGCTGTGCTTCTCTGAGACCCTGCTGCCCGGGTACACTCTTCCCAGAGTCCCTCGGGCTGGTGCCTGCACCTGAAATTCACTGCCAGGCAGGCCAGCAGAGGAAAATGGAGGCAGTGAGCACAGGTAAGCAGCAGCCCCACTGGACTCCTGCCTTCCTTCTCCCCCACCTGTGAGCAGGACTGGGGATGAAGCACTGATAACATGGTGGGCAAGCCCCAAGTACCCTGGGGCCAGCCCTCCGCTTATTAAAAAACACTCAGGGGGAGGGAAGACCGGGGGCTACACGGCCCCAGGGGTCTGGTGGCGGCAGGACCCTTGCCTGGTATCCAAGGTGGGGCTGTCACTTGGCTCCGGGTAGACAATACCATCTTCGATGGGTGTAGGCTCCAGATCTTGGGGAAAGACCCCTTCCTCTTGGGACAACAATCCGATAATGTGGGGGCAGGAACAGGGTTGGGAAGCCTGAGGCTGAGGGGGCTTTTCATTCTAGAAACACACACAGGGGCATTACTGCTGTTGCTGATATAAGAGAGGGTCTGGAACAAGAAGAGAGGGTGTTCAAGGATTTGGTGCACATCAATTCTGGGGAAAGACGAATATTCCAACTCTGAGGACAAATACCTGGAAGCCAGGCTGGGCCCCAACTAGTGTCCCTGAGCTTCTACAAAAACTCTGTTAGCACTCTGGCTGCGAACCTCCAGCTACCACTTCAAATCATCAGCCCTCCAAGGAACCCTGCCCGAGACGTTCACTACCCCATACCGCCTGGCCAGCCCCACCCTGGATCTGCAGTTCAGATGGCCCACGGACTGGGGAAGAGTGAGCACCACTGGATCGGTGCTCAGGCTCCAGCTGTTAGCACAAGGCCAGCTAAAGCTGCTTGGAGATCTCTAGGGGACTCGGAGAAAGCTGGCTCACCTGGACAGTGTGTAAGGTCCCAGGGGCTTGCTGACCATGCTTCCCTGAACCAGATGGGATCATGGCCAGAGAGTCCCTGCTAGGGTTCCTAGGGCTGGGAGCCAGTGTCTCTAGCTGCCGCAGGTCCAGCATGGAACGAACACTCAGCTCTACATCTGACTGAGCCCAGCGCCCTCTTCTTCTGGGTCCTTGGCTGGCTGCGGGAGCTGGGTGCAGGAATTCCACAGTCTCTTGTGCCTAGCATGGGGCAGGAGTTGGAGGAATTAACAATGACAATCACACAAGTAGGTACTAACATTATCTCCATATTTATAGATGGGAAAGCTGAAGCACGGTGGGCTTCAGTAACTTGGTCAAGTCCCACAGACAGTAAGCAGCCTGCTTATAGGGAATGACTCAGGTGGTCTGGCTCCAGAGTGCATGCTCTTAGCTTCACTCTATGTCCTATCTTAGTCAACCTTCTGTTCTCAATCTTCTTGTGGTATCGTGGACACCTCAAAGCTTAGAGTTTATACAAGTTCCCTACTCTGAAAACAGTCCCAACAAGGACCTCAAGTCCATTCACAGCACCAAGAATAAACCAATAGCCCAGTCTTGAGATGCATGGCCCGGTCAGAAAGCACCAGACACCCCACCATCATCCCATGTACCTGCTGCTAACAGTGAAAGGTGTTGGCATTTGAAATCCTGACCTGGGCGAGTGGGGACTGGGCTGCTTTGGGGCTTGCTCTGAAAGCCTTTACCCTCCTTCTGGCCACCCTGAAGCAGCTACTCCATTACCGGTCCCCTCGGGGCCCTTTTCCTCTAACTACCTGAAAATTCCGAGCTTACCTCCTAACCTGGCATCTTTAGAACCACAGTTGCTCCACATTTCTGCCTGCTCTTTGAGCCTCTGATTTTCTTGAGCTTTACTTCTAACCATTTGGCTCAGATGTCCCCTTTCTACTCCCTACCTCAACCTGTTCATCGTTCCCATTTGCTCCCAGGCCCCCAGGCAACTGAACAAGCAGTGGACTCCCCCCCCCCAGCAGTGACTAATCCCTGGAGGCCCCTCACCGGACCCACAGGAAGGAAACCCTTGGGCCTCACCACCCCTAACCTGGGACCAGCTCAGCTGGCTGAACTCCCCCAGTGAGGCCCTTCCTTGGCCCAAATGCCTTGCCAGGCCCAGACGGCCCTGCTTTCACCTTCCTTTACCTCTGTAACCCTGGAAGGGCATCTTAATGAGGGCGACTCACCCGACTCATCTCCCAGTGGGACAGGCTTCGAGGCAGGGCTGGGTTGGGCACCGAGGCTAGACAGAGACAGGCAGTCAGAGAAATTGTCCCCTGCCCCCCAACCCCAGAGCCCTGGCCCCACACCAGCCCATACCCTATGTGGTCACAATAACCCTCCGGTTTCCTCAGCTCCACACTGCTCTTACCCCCACAGGCCCAGAAAGCCTATCTAGCCACTATACGAACTATGCCTAACTTCCAAACTTCTGCAGACCTGGCTGTTTCTTGGTACCCTTGGCAAGGATGGGCAGAGCTGGGAGTTCTTCTTCCTCAGTGCCCTCGTCTTCTCCCTCCTTGTCACTGTCTGACGAGAGAGCTGGTCCAGAAGAGAGCATCGATGGGGCCTCGTGCCTGAGTCCAAGACAAGGACAGTCGTGGGAAGAGGAGACTCAGTGGGGAAGGGGACAATATCATAGGTTTTCATGTGAGAAACGGCCATTGGAGGACACAGAGTTGGCAGGTTCGGAGCAGGGAGGAGGAGCAGTAAGATGACAGCGAGCAATGTGGACTCCCACCCACTGCCTGCCCATACCCCACACTCTGCTCTCACCGATGGGATCCAGCAGTCCTTTGGGGAGAGGATGGTCCTTGCTGCTTGCCCCCTCGCTGACGCTGGCGCAGCTCTGCCAGGCGCTGCCTCATGCTGATGGTCATCTCAGAGCTCAGGCGCCACACAAATATGCAGCTGGGTAGAGCCACAGAGTTGTGAGAGAGGGGTAGGGTAAAACTCAGGGGGTGGCAACACCATTAGCTCTCCAGGGGCTGGCAAGGAGACATGAGCCACCCTCTAGGGCCAGGTCAGGTCCAGCCAAGAAACATCCCTGTTCAGCCCCACTTCCCAAAGACATGATTAAGGTGAAGGGGAGAGGGACAGGGTATATTTGTGGCAAAGGAAAAGAATCTGTATCTCAAGGAAGCTAGTTTCTGCTCACCTGTCCCCAGACACAGAGATGAGATGCTTGCAGTCATTACTAAATTTCATGCCAGTGACAATCTCTGTGAAGAGCAAAGAATACAGCCTATGAGCCATCCCAGCCAAGCTTCTGTTCCAACAATGGAGGTGGGGAATGGCTGGAAGGGAGAGGCAGGCAGCTGTGATGGGTCCCTAAGAACTAAAGGAAGAAAGAATAAAGTTCCAGGGGTAGAATATGGGGGCTACACTCACCTGAGTGGCCAAACATGGTGGCCACACACTCGCCTGAGGAGAAGTCAAAAATGGAGAGGTTCTTATCAGAACAGCTGGTGGCAATGTAGATCCCTGAGGGGTCTGTTTGCACCTAAGGAGTGGGACACACAGCTAGAAAAATACGAGAAGTGCCAGTTCCTATCCACCTAGTACCCTCATCCTGCTGGGCCCTTACCTTAATCAGAGTGCCATCCTCACCCTGTGACCCTTTAAACAGCTTCTTCTGCTTCCCACTGCTGATGTTAAAGATCCTATAAAGAAACACACTCTCATTTGTGTGAGGAAGAGGTTACCATCAAGCATATCTAGGTGGCAAAAAATGCCAGAAATTCACTCCCAGCCCCATTTTTCTACGGGAACCAGTCCCCAACACCACAGGGACTACTACCCCTTGGGTGGGGCGAAGTGCTCATTCTGTAGGCTCAAGGGGTCACACAGTCCTGGACAAAAAGACAGACATGGCCCTGGCTGGTATGGCTCAGTGGATTGAGTGTGGGCCTGAGAACCAAAGGGTCGCTAGTTTGATTCCCAGTCCAGGACACATGCCTGGGTTTGCGAGCCAGGTCCCCAGCAGGGGGCACGGTGAGAGGCAACCCCACACTGATGTTTTTCCCCATCTCTTTCTCGGTGCCTAGAGCCAAGCTCCCTCAAGCATAAAGGAACGTGTGGTCAGATGGTCTGAAAAAGGGATGCCCACCGAATATTTCGGTCCTGGCAGCCAATAGCCGTGTACTTCCAGCTGGGCTCCACATCCATGTCATAGAGGGTTGTCTTCCGTACCACGTGATGTGTCCGTGTAAACTGTACTCCATCTCCAGACTGCAGGGGTAGAGCATGGGGGCAGACCCAAGCCCAAATGTCTCACCACGCTGAGGGAGCCCTGCTTTCTCTTCTCTTCACCACTTGTAACCTCAGGTATGGGAACAGTAGAGAACCCCACCACCACCACCCACTGCCCCTCTCAGGGAAACCCAGTCCCCTCACCTTTTGTGCAGTGCGGAAGTAGATGCTCTTGTCCGCTCCACAGCTGATCATGCGGACTTGCCCATCACTGGCTATGGAGGAGAGGGGCTTAGCTGTTCCCACTGCTCTCAACCACACAGGGCCCGCCTTTCCTCTGCCTTCCCACCACATTTCCCCTCTACCAAGCACTCTTCATGACTGAGACAACCAGTAAATGTTTCCCTCCAAACCTAGGCTTTCCTTTATCCCTCTCCTCACCCTATCCTGGCTGGGGGGAGAGGGGGTAAGGGTGATATTGGTGGTAGGTGACAGAATGTATCTCAACTGCCCGCTCCCCACCTGCAAACTTGACAGCAGTGATGGAGGACGAGTGCTCGTCCAAGGTCTGCTGTAGGCTATACTCCCGTGCAGCATCCAGCACATGGATCAGTCTGTCCCGGCTCGCTGATGCCAGCAGCTTCAGACCTGGGGTTAAAAGAACTCATCAGCCCACAAGTGCCCAGAACAGGCCCCTGTGTGAGCCTGGCAAAGAGGGCTGCAGTAACTGAGCCCCATGGTGCAGAGATAGAGCTGTTCCCCTCTAAACCTGCAAAGACCCCAAATGATTCAAAGGACTTCCAGTCCCATATCCAAGAGCCAGTACAGAGGTGAGTGGCACCAACAGGATTGGAGAAGCCCTGTGCCATTCTGGGCTAGGGACTGGATATCCTCCTTACCTGTGTCTGGCTTAGAGTACTCCAGGCACAGAATCTCCGAGTCATGGGCCTCCACCTTCAGCATCTCACTGAGGGACTGCAGCTCGTGCACCCTGCAAAAATGAGGAGAGAAGGGTAGACGTCATTGCCAGGCTGTAGGAGGAGAGACTCTCCTCTGCTACATCCTTTCCCCCAACCTTTAAAATTTATTTTAAATTTTTTAACTTTTAGACTTAGAGAAAAGTTGCAATGAGTACAGAAGTTTTTTCCATATTTCCTTTACCCAACTTTCCCTAATGTTAACATATTGTGTAACAACAGTTCAATTAAAAGAACCAGGAAATTTACATTCACACAGTAGTATTAATAAAGGCTTTATTTTAATTTCACCAGTTTTTCCATAATGTTCTTTTTCTGGATCCAGGATCCTATCCAACTTGCATTTAGTTGTTATTTTTCTTTAGTCTCCTGCAGTCTTGAATAATTCTTCAGTCTTTTCTTACCTTTTGTAACCTTGACACTTTTGAAGAGTCCTGATCAATACAGGTACTCTGTGGCATGTACCTCAACTTGAGTTTATCCGATGCTTTCTCTTGACTGAACTGAGGTTATGCATTTTTGGCAAGAATACCACAGAAACAATACTATGTTCTTATTAGTATATCATATCATGGGTTCCATATTGAAATGAAAATGTTAAGCTTGATGATCACTTGGTTGAGATGGTTTCTGCTGGGTTTCTTCACTGTAAAGTTATCTTTCCCTTGTATATGTAAATATCTCCCCCAATCTTTAGAGCCAAATTTTTCTAAAGCTCTGTCTTTGGGGATCTAACTCTCCCAGCCTGCACCATGAGAAACAGTCAGCACCCACCCCAGCACTGGCAATACCTGAGTGTGCCCATACGGTCCCCCGAAGCTAGATGCTGTCCATTGGGGCTGATACAGAGAGAACGGATGCCCACACGGGGATCCATCAGGGACCCATCAGCTTTGTCCCCTCCGGGCAGTTCAGTGTCCAGTAGGGCCTGAGTGTTCCCATCCACGTAGATGATCTTAATGAGGTCCTAGTGGAACAGGTGCAGAGGATGAGTGGGTAAGGCAGACCTGACCCAGTATAACTACAAGAGGAGAGGGCTGCTGGACAAGATAGACCCTTGGCTTATAGAGACCAGTCAAACAAAAGCTGGAATATCAAAGCCTGGGGACCCAGTTCCTGAGAAGGCGTGAAGGCTAAGCGGAGGGGATACTAAGTATGGAGTTGGGGCCCTAAGGACTCAGGGCTCACATTGCTGAGGATATTTCGGTGCAAGGTGGAGCCATGCACCCCGGAGCTCTCTGTGTTCCACAGGCGGATGGTGTTGTCTGAGGAACAAGTGATGAAGGAACTGGGGGGAAGGCAGGCTTGGTTACTGTCCTTCACTTCTGGGTAGACCTGCAGGGGTTGAGGGAATGCAGTCAGATCTCCAGTGAGGGAGCAGTCCTTTATCTGCCCAGGGAGAAGGCAATGAAATTAAAGGGATAATGCTGGCCAAGACTTAGCCTAGTGATTGCCACATAGTAAGCAAGCCATAACTATTAAATATTCATCTTAATCACTAAAGGAAAGTCCCTGTACCAGGGACTCTTCTATGTCTCCCACTTAACATTTCATTTAATTCTTAGACAGTCAGGTGAATCAGATACATCACTTTATAGTTAAGGAAACTGAAGCTCAGTCAAGTTCATTAACTTGTCCAAGGTAACCCAGCCCAGGACAAGGGAAAGCTAGGAATGGACAGGGGCCCACTAGAAGAAGCCTAAGATATATAAGCACTAAAATTCAAATTCAGCCCGCAGGCCCTGTCTGAGGATAGGCAGGTCCACAGGAATGTTGGAGAAACAGGGAGGCGGCAGGAACATGACGTTATGCCCCCAACACTAGGGACCCCCACTCTCCACCTTCACAACGGTATCCCAACGAACCTGGCCAGTCTCAAGGTGTCCCAGCACACCTACCTCCACACTCCAGACGCAGGAAGAATGGTACAGAGCTGAGTACACCTTGCCCACTTTCTTGGGGTCCCTCACATCCCAAACATAAATGCTGTGATCGTTGTACACACAAGACAGCCACTGGTTAGTGGGATCAAAGGTCAAGGCAATGGTGTCTGGATACCTGGCACTGGCCACTCCAGCGAAGAGGCGACTGTGGGAGAGAAGACAAGCAAACTGGTGAGTGAGGAGCTGATGAAAGGAATAAAAACAGAAGGCAACCCATGAAGGAAGGAGGAGAGCATGGGAAGCCTCGTCCAGACCCAAATGTTTGACAGCAGTTGCTTGAGAAAGACAGAAGCAGCCCCTGACAGCCATGAGCAGGGAGCTGGCCTGGCACTAGCTGCTGGGCCATGGTGTTCTCCTGACGAACACAAACACCACCACAGAATGCCGACGTCAGATAAGGTAACTCTATGGCCATGACGGGGCAGGACAAACACAAGACTGCTCTGTCATTGTGTCTGACAGAGATAAAAACAAGATCACCATGCAAACCACAGAAGTGACCCAATATCACCCTTTCACATCTGCCAGGATTGATTGCTGCTTCTTTATCAATGACAGCTTGAGCCCCACCTGACAAATAAAATTATTAGGATGTCTAATCACAGATTTGCCCCTACTTCCTGACAGTATCCACCCACAGCAAAATTTCAATCTCTTGAACCATTTCTAAAATCACCTTACGCAATACCCCAAATCTTACAATACCCCCCACTTACTGAGATAATCCCTAGTTCTTGTTTGCAAGAGTACCAATAAACCCAACTTTGTCTGCAGAGGTATTCCTGGTTATCTTTGATATACTCTTCACCTTGTTCACTGAAGGCTGGACACAGCACGAGGCTCTGAATGGAAGCCGGGGGCCCACACAGCTCACCTGGCCTCAGTGACGCTGGCAACGTCTGTCCCCAAGGCATGGGGTCGGGGCAGGGTACTGAGAAAGTGCAGGTTAGAGGGGTTGAAGAGGCGCACAGTACCATCAGCACAGCCACAGAAAATGTAGTCCTGGCTCACAGAGATGCAGTAGGCCACGGTGGTCTGCAGGCAGAGAGACTCAGGTCAGCACAGGCCACCGACCCAACCCCTCCTCAACAGTCACCTGCCGAGAAGAAAGACTAGCCAACACAGGGTCAAGAGAAAAGCAGCCCAGCTGCTCCGCCTGAGCCCCTCAGCTATTATCTAGAGATGCCCCTCCCTCCAGCAGCAGGTGGCCAGAGGGCCCACAGCCACGTGCAATTTGGGGGATGGGAGTCAGGAACCCTCCTAAGGTATTAAAGGTTTTAGCAAAGAAAACAAAGTAGGAAAAGCCCAGCAAAGAGGAAAAAACAGCATGAGAAAGACAGGAGAGTCTAGGCATCACTTACTGTGAAGCTGTCTGTGTTCTGAGCAGAAGAGGAAAGCAGGGGAAAGGAAGACAGAAAGAGAGCAGAGAGGAGGCAGTTACACAGATCTCCATGGCGGGGCTCAGGGGAACTGGGCCAAGCTCTGGCCCCCTCAAGCTTCTTCTCCTGGGGTTCCCTCCTACATGCATGAGAGCCCAGCCCCTGGTATGGAGCCATAGGCATCAGTTCTCCCCTGAGCTGAGACATGCACAGCCCCAACCAGCTGGGCCAGAGGTACTTACTCTCAGCTCCACCCACTTATCCAAAAGCCTCCGATCACTGAACTCGCACAGCAGCCCAGAGGATGTGATGCAGAAGGTACTATCTGCCTTCTTCCCTCGGCCACACGCCACATCAGTGAACAAGTTGTTCCGCAGTGCCCCCAGCAGTCCCGAGCGGCCCAGCAGGGGCACAGTGGCATTCACCTGTGGAGACATACCACTGTTGTCCACCATGTACCCCAGAGCCTGAGCCTGGAAACTAGGCCCCCGTGCTTTTGAGACTACTCCTCAGCCCAGACAGCATCTGACTCATCCAGATCTGTATGGCTGATGAGCAAGCAGAGAAGGGCCCAGTGGAGCACAGTCTCCTGGGATAGGCTGAGCAGGCCCTGGCCCTACTGGCTACTTCCAGCCTCAGCATCTCACCTTTGAGGTCTTACTGTCATCAAGGTACCAGAATTTGATATGTCGGTTTCCTGCAGTGACAAAGTAGCTGCAGTCTTCAGAGAAGGACACCGCTGTCACCCGACTGGACACCTTATTGGAGGCCACTACACTGTTTTTCTGGAGAGAGAGCCAAAGGAAGAATAAAGGTTCTGCCTCTTTAGGCTACGAAGAAAAGCACAGAGGAGAGGAGGGTTAAAATGTATTTGCACTTAAAAAAAAAAGTTTCTTTCTGGGATTTACTGGTCAGAAAAAAAAGGGAGTGAGGAGAATCCCTTTCCAGAGGAGTTGAAAAGATTCATTTCCTCCAAGAGGTCCTCAAAGACATGAAACTAATTCCTTTCTACCAGGATGTTTGGCTACATACTTGCTCTTTTCTGCCTCAGATCATTTTCTAGAATGAGACTGAGATCAGTAGAGCTGAGTGAAGGGGCTCCCAGTCGGTGTCTTCCGGGCTCCCCAACTGGCCCTGGAAACCTCATGAGACTGCCAGGCCCGCCCACCCAGCCCACTCACCTTCCAGGCCCAGACGTTGACAATCATGTCATGCTGGTAGCCCACGGAGACAATGTACTTGGCGCTAGGGGAGAAGGCCACACAAGCCACACCATACTTATGCTCCTGCAGCTCTGCCACCTGGCTACGCTCAGCCACATCCCAAACCCGAACTGCTGGCATGTGCCCACTCTGCAGGGAGGCAAGGACTGGGAGTGAGGGCCGGAAGCATACAGACCCCATTAGCCTTTCAGAGTGGGGGCCCTCACCTCCCCAGCTACTGAATACAATCCAATGACCTGGCCAAGAGTCAAGAGCAGAGTGCTATGCAGGGCAAAAGTAGAGAGGAAATAGTAAGTATCTCAGGACAACAATGATTATCAGGGAGAAAATGGCCCCAGATTTTGTTCAATATTTCTGGGTGAGGGTCTGCACCTCTGTTATTTGTTCAAAGCTCCTTGAGTATTTCTGATGGACAGCCAGGCTTGAGAATTACTACCATTCAAGCCTGTCTCTGCCCCAACTGCCTCTCTGTAAGACTAAGCGAAGAGGTATTCCTCATATGCCCAGCAGGGGACCTCCGGGGATAAGGAATATTTTTAAGTGTTTTCAAAGTGTGCTTCCCTAACTAAGCAGAAGCAGCATGAAGTAAGAACTTGTTAGAAATACACATTTTGGAGCCCCACCCCAGACCTACAGAATCAGATCTCTGGGGTCAGGTCCAGCACTGTGCACTTTAACAAGCCCTCCACGTGATTCTGACACACACTAAAGCTTAAGGACCACTGTTTTAAAGCCATAGCAAACACCAGGATTTGGCTTCTGTTTGGGAAGCCAAAGTGGCAGCAGCCCTAACTGGGCCTACAATTTTAGTTCTCTGCTGAGGGCACATCACCCATTCTCCTCAGACAACTGCAGCTCCCTCTCCTCACTTACCTCTCCAGTGACCAAGTACTTGCCATCAGGGGAGAAGGCAAGGGCAGTGATGGTCTTCCTGCAAGAGATGAGGCTGGCTCAGAGGGGCACTGGCAGCCTGGCCTAAGCCTGGCTCCCTCAAACTTCCCTCCAAAGGCAAGACCAGGGGACACCAATGGCCCATGTGGCATTTCCCTCTCCCAGGAGCCAGAGACCCCAGACTGTGCCCTAGTCACAGGCCCCAGAAGAAGCAGGTACTCCCTGAGGGCTCAGACCCATTTACCTGGAACTGTTGAGGATGTGGTGTTGTTTGTGTTTCCGGGGATTGAACAGCACGACCACACACCTGGAGGGATGAGTTAGAAAACAGACTTAGCACCAAACCTCAGCTCCCCCAGGAGCTCCCGGGCTACCTGGGAATTCCAGTCACCCATCAGAGAGGCTCCACTTGCCACCGAGGGCAAGTGACTGCTTTTTCCTGCAACCCTTTCTTCCTTCCTTTCCCTGCCCACAAGGGCCTACCTCTGCAGTCTCTTGAGGGTGATAGCGGTCCCTGGAAGCCTATCCCCACCAGGTCCCTAAACAGCACACCATCTCTGGTCATACCTACAAAGAGCACCAGGGACACAGGCCTTCCCACTGTCCTCACACAGAGCCCAGGGAGGGGTACAGGAGGGAAAGGGACACGTGACTGGGCAATGCAGGCCATGGGTGTACAGCCCGTTCACAGGCCTGGATCCACATGATTTCAGCATTTATGCTCCAAGGAGAGGTGAGGCCTCTCACATGCGGGCCCACGTGTGTACTTGGCAGGAACTGGCTCTCCACACCCTCTACACGTCAGATGAGGAAGGGGGTGGGAGGCACAGGTCCAAAATTGCAAAAAACCTCGGTGAGCCTAAGAGGAGGGGCAGAAAGAGCTGAGAGGGCCTGAGGAAGCCTGTTCAGTGTCTCAGAGCTCCACACCTAGCCCTGAAAATCCCTGGCCCCAAGGAACCTTAGAAGAACCCTCCAAATTGCCAGAAGGCAATCAGGGACATCACCTGCTTAGCACAGAGGAGGGCAGTACCCTCTCTGTCTGGTGGCAAAACCGGATGGGATCAGGTTCAGAATGACTCTCCAGAGAGGAGCCTAGATGGTAGGCACCAGGGGGAAGAAGCTGGAAGCCTTAGCTAGGCAGTATACTCCTTTAGAGTTCCTGGCTGTCAGCAGGCCTAGGCCTACTGTCCCTCCTGCCCCCACTTCATCAGCTCTGTAACTAGCTGACAGGAGCAGGCATGGGGCCTGCTACACCAGGTAAGGGGACAGGGAGAGAACGAGCAGAGAACAACTTCCCCCAGACCCACACTTATTTAGTAGGTAACCTCCTGTGGCTGAACCTCACCCTTGCTAGAAACCTGAAGCAAAGGTGGGTACAAACAGTCAGTGCTTAGTATCTTAGGCTCAATAAACCGCTTCAATATGCAAATTCCACAGGCAATCGCTGGGGACACGAGGATCTCTGAGGTGCAGCAGATACACCCAGAACTGCCAGGCTGATCAACAGATCTTGGAATTCCTGAGTCATATCCTCTTCTCTTCTAACCCCACCTCCCTCAAACTCTTCCTGACTGTTTTCTTTCTCCTTCTCTCCTGATCTCCTAATCTGTTCCTTGTTCCCCTTTCCTCAGTCCCTTTGCCATTTTCTTTTTATGCCAACTTGCAGTTTCCTGCTTCCCCTCCAGAATGCCATGCCAGAATAGTTTTTATTGTTTGAAGAAAAAAAAAAATCACATCTCTATTTTCATTAACCTTTAACTAATATTTAGCATTTCCTTCCATTTTTAAAAAATTACAGTTGATATACATTATTATATTAGTTTTGGGTGTACACCCCAGTGATTAGACATTATATCTTACTAAATGATAATTCCAATAAATTTTGTACCCACCTGGCACTATACATAATTATCAGAATATTACTGATTATAGTCCCTATGCTGTACTCTACACCTCCATGAGTATTGTGTAACTAGCAATTTGTACTTCTTTTTTTTATATAATAAATTTTATTTAGTTACTTTTCAAGTACATTTTTTTATCTATTTCTGCAATTTGTACTTCTTAATTCCTCCACCTTTTCCACCCGTTCTCCCCAACCCCTGTCCCATCTGGCATCCACCCAAACATTCTCCGTATCTATCGGTGTTTCTGTTCTACTTCTTCATTCTGTTTTTTAGATTCAAGTGTTGATAGATATGTTTTTATTGGCATTTTATTGTTGTTTTTTAATCTTTTGTTTCTTCTTCTATTTTTTAAAAAATAGATGGATCAAGGTTTAGTGCTGGCCTGATCTGCTTGCATAGGTCTCCTTTTTAATAAAATTTAAAAATTTTATTTATTTTTAGAGAGAAGGGAAAGGTGGGAGAAAGAGAGGTGGAGAAACATCAGTGTGTGGTTGCCTCCCACACACCCCCTACTGGGGACCTGGCTGCAACCCAGGCATGTACCCTAAGAATCAAACCAGTGACCCTTTAATTCACAAGCCTGCACTCAATCCACTAACCCATACCAGCCAAGGCTGCTGCTGCTGCTTCTTCTTAAAGAAGACCCTTTAACATCTCATATAATACTGGTTTGGTAGTAATGAACTCCTTTAGCTTTTTCTTGCCTGGGAAGCTCTTTATCCGTTATTTGATTCTAAATGATAGTTTTGCTGGGTAGAGTAATCTTGGTTGTACGTCTTTGCTTTTGCTTTTCATTACTTTGAATTGCTCTTGCACATTTCTTCTATCCTGTGAAGCTTCTGTTGAGAAGCCAACTGACAGAAGTACAAATCTGCTATAAGGGAGCTTATGGGAGCTCCCTTATAAGTAACTAACACCTTTTCTCTTGCTGCTTTTAAGATTCTCTCTTTGGCCCTGACTGGTGTGGTTTAGTGGGTTGGGATCACCCCTTGGACCAAAAGGTCCCCAGTTCAATTCCTGCTCAGGGCACATGCCTGAGTTGCAGGCCAGGTCCCCAGCTGGGGGAGTACAAGAGGCAGCCAGTTGATGTTTCTCTCACATATCCATGTTTCTCTCCCTTTCTTTCTCCTTCCCTTCCCCTCTCTCTAAAAAGAGAGAAAAGAAAATGTTTAAGATTCTCTCTGTCTTTATCCTTTTGCATTTTAATTATGATGTATCTTGGTGTATCTTGGTATGATGTATCTTTGGGTTCATCTTGTTTGGGACTCTGTGATTTCTGGATTTGTATATTTATTTTATCCACCAAGTTAGGGAAGTTTTCTGTCATTATTTTTTCATAAAGATTTTCAATTTCTTGTTCTCTCTTCTCTCTCACATTTGTTCACTCCCTTTAATTTTCTATGCTCCTCCCACTACAGGGCCTTTAAAGAAGCTGCTCCCCTTGTCTAGAACATTCTTCTCCCTCTTTTCCAACTAGTTAACCCTTAGTCTTCTTTCAGATCTCAGGTTATATGGCCCATATATGCTATCATGGCACAGTGTATCAACCTTTTGTGACATTTATCACAGCTGCAATTTTACATTTAGTTTTGATAATTTCTCCCATTAGACTATGTATTCTATGAGGGTGGGAACTGGATCTGGTTTTGTTCACTACTTTGTCTCCTGGGCTTAGCAGAGTATGGTCTATTGCAGTTGTTCAAGAACCATTTATTGAGAGGATAAATGCATCTCTTAGTCCATTAGCTTGGTCCTGTAGTACATCAGTTCTCCTCCCTACTCCACGCCTCACCTATCTTCTATGCAAGGAGAGCCTAGGACCTCTGGAGCCTCAGAGGCAGTGTTGGGCAATAGGGATGTTGTGGGTTTGGAGTCAGAGACTACAGTTTGAGTCCTTGTTCTGCCATGTACATCTAGTGACCCTGGTTAAATCACAAGCCTGTTTCCTTATCTGTAAAAAAGCAGACACCTGATTTTAGCTCATAGGACCTCTCTGAATATTAAATGATTTCTTTGACAAACAGGAGCCAAACAAATGCAAATCTTAATATTACTACTCCTAGAACATGGAAATGAAAGGGGGCTCCTAGCTGTGGGGAACAAGGTGCTAAGGGATTGTATCAGGTTTTCCCTGAGGGAGAATGGAGGTGAGTCCTCTTAGGAGCTGAGTAAAAGTAAAAACTTGTTTAAAAAAATATTTTACTTACTTATTTTTAGAGAGAAGGCAAGGGAGGGAGAAAGCAGTAAGAGAAACATCAATGTATGAAAAGATACATCAATCGATTGCCTCTCACATGCCCCCAACTGGGGACCTGGCCTACAACCCAGGCATGTGCCCTGACCGGCAGCCGAACCAGTGACCTTTGGGTTCATAGCCTGGCACTCAATCCACTGAGCCACACCAGCCAGAGCGAGTAATGATTAAAAAAAACTTTAAAGGAGGCTTTATATTTTGTTCTGGGAAGGCAGCCAGGAAAGAAGAGTTGGGTTGAGGTTGGGGATAGAAAATAGCTGCAGTTTCATAGACTTAGGAGATGATAAGCTTGGAAGGTAGCAAGGAAAGGAAGAGGAAATATTGAGGGAAAAACTATCTTAATTATCTAGGACAGAAACATGGAAAAATAACAGAAGTAACATCTCCTAAGTTAAAAAGCATCACATGAGCGTTTCAATGAACTCTAAACCTGAAGGCATCCACTTCCTTAAGTAACTGATCTTCTGCTCTTTACACAGCCCAGTAAGAGTTATTACCATGTATCAGGCACTTTCTATGTAGCAGGTACTCTGCTAAGTAACTCAGACATCTGGTCTTACCCAATCCTTACAACAACCTTGGGGCACTGGTACAGTTACCCCCACCTTATAGATGGAGAAATGAGTTCAGAGCAGTGAGGTAATTTCTTCAAGTCCATTCAACTAAATCAAAAGAGGCAGGATACAAGAAGTAGTGCCCTAAGAAAAGCAGAGTGGAATAAGTAGGGGAAAGAAGAGAAAACTTGTTACCCTGACTGGGTAGCTTAGTTAAAGCATCATCCCATTACAACAAGGTTGTGGATTCAATCCTCAGTGAGGACATGTACAAAAATCAACCAATGAGTGCATAAATAAGTGGAACAACAAAAATCGATGTTGTTCTCTGTCTCTCTCTAAAATCAATAAATTAAAAAAAAAAACAAAAAACAAAACTGAAGTTGCCCTGGCTGGTATAGCTCAGTGGACTGAGTGCGGGCCTGCAAAGTAGACCATCGCAGTTCGATTACCAATCAGGGCATATGCCTGGGTTGCAGGCCAGTTCCCAGAAGGGGATGCACCAGAAGCAACCATACATTGATGTTTCTCTCCCTCTCTCCTTCCCTTCCTCTCTAAAAAAAATAAGCAAATAAATGAATAAAATCTTAAA